TTCTGGGCATTTACTCATGCTCTAGTTCCTGCCTTCTCAACATTGCATCTTCATAAGTTGAAATCCTTCTCCAGCCCCAGCTCATATGTTGCATCTTCCAGGAAGTCTTATGTGGTGTCTTGGCCAAATGCTCCATCTCTCTGAGAGCTACATCACGTCCTTCTCTCTATGCCTTTTACGGGAGTGCCGGAGTCCAGGTGTAGTGGATAAAGCGCAAAGAGAAAAGGAAGTAGACCATTACAATTTTATGATCATAATGCACAATGCAGGAAAGCTGTCCACTTTATTTATACAGAAAGTCAAACTCTGGCTCAGACTTTTTATGCCATGGTCAAGTGGGTGTTTCTAAAGATAATTCAGCCATTTGTTTTACCTAAAAACAATAGAAGTTTCTGCTACAATTCTTATTCTACAACTTAATCTCATATCACAAAGAAAAGGAGGACCTAAAGATCAAGGAAAGAATGAAATTGTAAATACACATCCCTTGATTAGCATAAGGGGAGAAATGTATCACAAAGAAAAGAACCTAAAGATCAAGAAAAGAATGAAACCCTAAATATAGGTCCCTTGATTAGCAAAAGGTCAATGGGGACAGCCAAGACCGAAGGAATAATAGAAGACCCTTTTGCAAGACATTATTATTGACTTTTTTTTAAAGATTTGTTTATTTTCATTACAGAGTCAGATATACAGAGATAAGGAGAGACAGAGAGAAAGATCTTCCATCTGATGATTCACGCCCCAAGTGAGCCCAATGGATGATACTGAACTGATCCAAAGCCAGGAGCTCTTCTGGGTCTCCCTCACAGGTGCAGAGTCCTAAGGCTTTGGACTGTCCTCCACTGCTTTCCCAGGCCGCCAGCATGGAGCTGGATAGGAAGTGGAGCTGCTGGGATTAGAACTGGCTCCCATATGGGATCCCAGGGCTTATTCAAGGCGAGGACTTTAGCTGCTAAGCCACATGGGCCCTATTAACATTAACCTCCAAGTTTACATTGAATAAAAGGCCAACTGCACAGTAGCAAACAATGCCTGAATGGATTAGAATTCTTCCACAGGGTGGTCCGGTGTCCATGCAAAGGAAGGTGGAGCTGCATTCAGGTGGCTGTAGAGACATCCCTTGGGCCCTACCATACAGCAGGAAGTTCCTTGTGGCCTGAAATGGAACAATGCTCTTCACACCTCGTGTCTCCTACATCTACTGCACGGACCCCAACAGGCAGCATACCAGCCTATTGTGTGTTTCCACTACTGTGGTGAGGAATGCTGTCAGCGCCCTCCACACACACAGTAACATCTTGAAAGGCTGAAAACTTGGTCTCATTCTTTTGTGGTTGTTGTATCCCTGATGCCTAATGCAGTCCCTTTATATAGTAGGCATTTAATTAAGAATATATGTTTTCAACAAATCAGTGTGCTGGGGTAATGGAGAGGAATGAGAAAGTTTCTTTCTCCAAGTATATATATTTTATATATATAAAAGAGAGAACTCTTCCACCTGCTCATTTACTTCCCAAATGCACACAACACAGAAGGCTAGGCCAGGCTGAACCCAAGAGTCAGGAGCTCCATCTGGGTCTTCCATGGGCAACAGGAAAGTACCTCCTGGGCCATTATCTGTTACCTCCCAGATGCATTGGCAGGGAGTTGGAGCAGAAAGGTAAAAATATGGGGCTGGCGTGGTGGTATAGCAAACTAATTCTCTGCTTGTGGTACCATATGGGTACCAGGTAGAGCACCAGCTGCTCTATTTCTGGAAAATGGGCAAAGTCCTTGAGCCCCTGAACCCATGTGGGAGACTCACAAGAAGTTTTTGACAGGCCAGGTTACAGCCATTTGGGGAGTGAACCAACTGGTAGAAGACCTTTCTCCACGTTTCTTTCTCTCTCTCTCTCTCTCGGTAACTCTGACTTTCTTCTTCTTCTTTTTTAAAGATTTATTTAATTTTTATTGCAAAGTCAGATATACAGAGAGGAGGAGAAACAGAAAGGAAGATCTTCTGGTCGATGATTAACTCCCCAAGTGACCACAATGGCTGGAGTCAAGCCGATCCCAAAAGCCAGGAGCCAGGAGCTTCTTCTGGGTCTGCCATATGGGTGCAGAGTCCCAAGGCTTTGCAGCATCCTCCACTGCTTTCCCAGGCCACAAGCAGGGAGCTAGATGGGAAGCAGGGCAGCTGGGATTAGAATGGCACCTGTATGGGATCCCGGCGTGTTCAAAGCAAGCACTTTAGCTGCTAGGTTACTGCACTGGGACCAACTCTGACTTTCAAATAAAGTAAATGAATCTTTAAAAGAAAATATAAAGAAAGGCAGAAATACACCAAGAAGCAATACAACACTGACTGCAGTATGGAAAGAAAGATGCACAGCAAAAATAGGTGAGCAGCTGCAATCACTGATGAGCTGCACAGCCTTGCCAAACCCGTGGCCTCTGAGCCTTGTTCCCTTATCTTATTCCCTTATCACTGGGGGCACGGAGGCCTGGCAGGTGCTCAGCACATGGTCCGTGTTCTATTTGTGGAGTCAGATGAGGCTGTTCTGCCTAAGAAAAGGGAAGCTGGGCTTGAAGAGACAGAAGCTGCTGCCATGGGCTTAACCTAGAGTGAATGAAACTGGTGCCTAGTCCATCTTCGTGGCCTCCAGGTAAAAATCCTTACACTTACATGTTTCCATTTCCCAGCCTAACCTGGGCTCTCTGCCTTTTACAACTTCCCAGCAACTGGGAGCACATTTGATCTGCAGCCCCTGGCAGAATGAGGACCTTGTTGCAAAGAATGTGGCTCTGAGAAATTGTTGTGATCTGCCCTGCCCTGGGGCACCCAGGAGAACCCAGGCCTCTGTTGCTGTATTTGAGGTGGGAGCACTGCTAGGACAGGTGGCAGAGATGCCAGGCTTTTCTGGGGATGTAGTGAGTGTTTTCCCTTGGAAACCCAGGAACCCACAGCTTAAGACCTGGTGCAGCACCAGCAGGGAAGAAAGGCTGATCCATCTGTGCCCTGAAGGGATCACTCTCTGGCAGGGCAGCGCAGCACCCACCCCATCTGTCTTGCAAAGTGTGGAAAGGATGTCAGACCCGTGTGGGGAGCAGATATATGGGTGATGGAGTGGTCAAAACCTTTCCCCTTATACTCTGGCATTCCCTCAGAACACTTCTGCAGCTAGAGAGGTGGGTTTCCCCTCTCCTGAGCAATCCTCCAGTACACACCAACTGGGTGTCCTGTAATCGGATTTAATCTAACTCCATTCTGATAGTGTCCATCTGGAGGCAGACTCGTTCCCACAAGGTTGTCCCCCACTACAGAAACTAACCAAAAGTAATAGTTTGTGATTGTTTTGGGACAACTATAGGGAAATAACGTAATCCTTTTTTTAAAAAAAGATTTATTCATTTTTATTGGAAAGGTAGATGTACAGAGAGGAGGAGAGACAGAGAAAGATCTTCCGTCCAATGATTCACTCCCCAAGTGACCGCAATGGCTGGTGCTGTGTCGATCCGAAGCCAGGAGCCAGGAACTTCTTTCCAGGTCTCTCTCGCAGGTGCAGGGTCACAAAGCTTTGGGCTGTCCTCCACTGCTTTCCCAGGCCACAAGCAGGGAGCTGGATGGGAAGTGGAGCTGCCTGGATTAGAACCGAAGCCCTTATGGGATCCTGGTGCGTTCAAAGTCAGGACCTTAACCACTACGTTATCACGCCCAAAATAGGGTAATCCTATGATTCATTCTGCTTTGGTTTGATAATCTCCTAAGACGACTCGCAGAACTCAGGGAAAATGCTTATTGTTTTAAGATTTAGTTATTTTTGTTAGAAACGTGAATTTAAAGAAAGGAGAGATAAAAATCCTTCACTTGCTATGGCTGGACCTGAGCCAGTTGGAAACCAGGAGCCAGCAGCTTCCTCCTGATCTCTCACATAGGTCTAGGGTCTCAAGAACTTGGGCCATCCTCTGCTGCTTTCCCAGGCTATTAAGTAGGGAGTAGGTTTGGAAGTAGAGCAACTGGGTCATGAACTGTTTGTTGCCCATGTGGGATGCCGGCGCTTTAAGGACTAGCCTGTCGAGCCATGCATCGGCCTGTTCTATTATGAAAGTCAACATGAAGGAAGCACAAGAACTGTGAGATGCGAGACTGATTAGGGGCCCCATGGAGGAGCAGATGTGGGCACCGACAGTCTGGCCACTTCACCCTGCGGACACCTGCAGCCCCAGGCTCAGCAAACCTTGTTCCTGGAGGTGGGACAAGCTCCAATCCTGCAATGGTGGGGTCTTAGCTTTCACTTAGGAAATCCCAGGGATCTATCAAATGTTATTTCAAATCATTCCACAGTGACGGAGCACCAGAAATGAGAGAGGCAGGAACAATAACGCCTAAAAATATTGAAGAAAAAAAAAAGGAAGTGGCAGCAGCTCAGAATGGTGGTGCCCAGGGCCCAAATCGTGGGTGGGGTGTGGAGATACTGAGACACCAACGTGGACGGTGTGGGTGCAGCCGAGCCTCCCCAGGGGTGGGGCACGAGGCAGCGCGGAGGAGGAAGCAGGGTTGACCTGAGTCATCCAGCAAAGGCCAGGCGCGGCCCAGGCTCCCTGAGTTGCAGGAAGCAGTGTAGGATTCACAGACGGTCGAAATGGACAGATAGTCGCAGGGCTGGGCACCGACTTCCCCTAATTCAATAACTTCTTTTCCACTGCTTGTTGCGGACGTTGGAAAACCGCGATGAAGACACACACCAACCTCCGGAGTTTGCGCAAGGGGGAACCTGAAGGGTCCCCCCGCCTACAGCTCATGGCTCCCGCCAGGCTCCGGCGGCTGCCGGGAGCACAGCTCGTGGCAGCTATTGGAGATGCCGGCGCGCACGAGGGTCGTGCTGCAGGTCGGCGGACCGGCGGCGCGCGCAGCCCAGGCCTCTCCAGCGCCCCGCCCGGCTCGGCGCCCGCCCCCAGCCCAACCCACACGTGGGTTCCCGCACGTCCGCTCAGCTCCCCCCCTGACGTCAGCCTCGTGGTTTCATTTAAGGCCCCTCCTGCTCCCATCTCTGAGTGCTGGAGCAGCTGCCGACGAGTTCAGATCTCATCTCTGCGCATCTCCCACGCCCGCCCGACGTGCACCCCAGGTAGGTCGTGCCCCGCGCACACCGCACCCCACGGTGGAAAAGACGAGCCCTTGTCTTCGGCTCCGTGCTCCTGGGGCTGGGGGTGTGTACGCATTGCTTCCCAGAAACAGAAGCCGGAGACCGAAGCAGTGATCCGCACCACGCTCTGTTTCCCTAAGTGGGGAACATGGCATGTGGCCGCACCCAAGATGAGGGCAGATGCAAAAGGGGGTGCCTTTGGCTGGACGTGGGCCAAGGGCGCAAACTTTGGAACTCTTGGAGCCGAAAAAGCCTTAGTATCTCTGGGGCGGGTTCCTGGGAGCCAGAAAGCCGCAGAACGCCTCGCGGTGGGCGTTTTTTGACCCCTGGATGCTGGAGAGGGGTTCTGGGGATGGGGTGGGGGCCTGCCGCGCGGATTACTCGGCATTCTTGGCGCAGTGGTATCTCCCAGCGTGGTGCATGCAAAGGTAAAGATGTTTCAGGCAGAGCCCCAGTCCTCTGGCACCTCAGACGGACCTCGGAGTCGAAGAACCTCCCGCCCATCCTCCCCTTTGGACACGGAAAGCTGGGAGAGGGTTAGGAAACTTGCAGGGTCTCCCCTTGGGCGCTTGTCTCCAGGCAACCCCACTCCACGAGGAAGGGAGCCCTGCAAGCCTAGTGCTGGGGTGTTGGTGAAGCCAGCAGGTCTTTGCGGGGGAATCTCCCCCCTGCCGCGCCGCAGAAACCTTTACGAGGCCGTCTCGAAATAGCAAGGATTTGTAAGGAGAGAACTGGTTCCCGCCCGACGCCTCTGGGCAGCCTGCCCTGAGGCCATAGCAAACATTTTTGCCCTTTGGGGACAGTGACCTGCAGCTCCGTCCCTGGGTGCAGGATGGGAAGCCCCTCTCCGGGCTCTGGGATCCGGCAGAACAATCCCGTATCTGTTAACTACGGTGCTCCGGGCTTCTGCACTACCGCGGCTTATTTATGCACTTCCTGGACTGACAGAATGTCCCAACCAGGGCCTCACGCCTTTGCTCAGAATCACGGCAGCAGCCACACGAGGCTCCTCCCCGCCGGTTGGCAAACAGTGTTACACCTCTTTCTGGAGGTTTTAAGAGGCCCTGGCCCGCACGCAGGTCAGGCCGGCGGCCAGCCAGGCTTCACGCTCCTCGCGGCTTCTTCTGGTCCCTAAGTGAAGTCTGAAGTCGAACTCTGACTCGCAGAGCTCTGGATTATCTACCGCTCTCAGGTTGCAGCCACTGCGCCACGCGCTGGCACTGCTATGCAGTGCGCACGCGCAGCTTTCCGGGGCTCCCTCGCCTTCCGGATCTGGGCGGGGCCTGCCACCTGGGGACTTCCGCCCCCTGGTGGACGGGAAGCCAGCAGTCGCGCATGCGCACAGTGGGTTTGTGGCAGCTAGTAGCCGTTAATGGCACTTAAAGCAAGTAGTTCTGGTCCTTCCAGGCGGGGCTTGGCCGTGTCCTTGCTGTAGGAGCCTGTGTGGCTGGAGAAGAGCAGGGCGGGCCACTCTTTCAATTCTTTTCTGCGGAAAGGTCGGCCCTTCTCAGGGTTAAATAGCCAAGATGAGCGAGCCTTCAGGAGGCTACACTTACACCCAGACGTCCATATTATTTGTGCATGCCAAGGTGAGGTCTTCAAGGCACATGATGACTGTGGCTATGCCATGGGCACCTTTAGGCTTTCTTTAAAGTCATCTCTTGTAGTTGCCGTGGCAGGTACCTAAAGTGATGTTGAGGTCTTGGTTCCAAAACATGAAGCAGGCTGGTGACTCTGAATGTTTTTCCTCTGTGTAGATTCCTGCTGGTTCCAAATCCAAGTCCAAAATGGCAGCTCTCAAGGATCAGCTGATTCACAACCTTCTGAAGGAAGAACAGGTCCCCCAGAATAAGATCACCGTTGTGGGGGTTGGTGCTGTTGGCATGGCCTGTGCCATTAGCATCTTAATGAAGGTGAGAGTTCTAACCCCATCCACTCCTGCTCCCTCCCCAACACGTGCTTTGTCACATTGCATAATAAATATAGCTTATGGCATCCATTCAAGATCTTTATGTAGAGGCAACTTTCCAAGCGTGAGCATATTAAGTATACGTGAAATAAAATTTCAAAGGACCTAGAACTCCCTGTGCTGCATGTATGGATTGAAGGAAGAGTTCAGAATCTACTTTTCTGAATTGATTTCTGAGTTGAAAATGACATAACATTAAAATACTGAATCTGGGGAATGTTAAGTTCTCCCACTCTTTAAATCCTTAGTTAAAAATTGTGGAAATTTAACTAAAAATAAAGAACACTTGAAAATATTAAAACTTGGTTTATATTGAAAAGAAACAGGCAGTTTACCACATTAAGTCTCAATTTGGAGCTCCACATTGGGAATGAAAAGGAGGAATTTAGTTTTCTGAACAGAGGTTACTGGAGGAAGAAGGGCCCCGGGCAGGTACGAGTAGGCAGGGCCTGTGTTTCCACGTGCGTCCAAGCTTCGGGGGAGACATGTCATGCACCAGCTCTTCATTCTCCTCCTGGTCAGAAACTGATGCTGTGTTCTCCACACTTGGGGGTGTGTGTGTGTGCTTCATCCAGAGCCTCTGACTGTGGCTGCCAGATGACTCACTGGGTGGTAGCTGGACCCAGACCACATCTCGTTTATATTAAAGCTGTTTTTGGCTCTCCTGCCCTACAATGCACCCATTCGCTTCTTTCTGTAGGTGCAAGGCTGTTTTTTTTTACCTGTACTATGCATTACATACACAATCTGTTGGACAACTGTTTTTATAAACTGACGGTTCATAAACTGTCTTTATGGACCAATTTGTTAGTATTGGCTCATGTGAAAAGCCTCTAGAGAATGATACAGGTTGTTTTGTTTTTTTAAAGCTTATTTTTTTTTTGATCTGAAAGGCACAGGGCAGAGTCTTCTGTCTACTGTTCCCCTCTAAATGTGAAAGCCAGAATTAGGCCAGGCTCAAACTAGGAGCCAGGTCTGGTCCTTCCATGTGAGTGGCGGGGACACACATACTTGAACCTTCACAGGGAGCACATTACAAGGAGGTTAGAGTGCAGTGGGTGAGACTGCACAGTCCAGAACACCGCAGTGCCCACCCACCCCACAATACTACTTTTAATGATATTAATGATAACCAGGTAATGTTAATTAACCTAATTGATGAATAGCGACCTAAAGTCAGTTCATTAGACTGAATTGGAGGTAATAAACGGAACAATTTTGCACACTTGGGAGTTATTCTAGATACTGCCAGTCTGCTCTGCTTCCAGACTAGCTGCAGTTGGAATTCCAGTGTAGGTTGCTTTACCGGAAAATGGGGCTCTAGGATGGGAACAGTGTTCGATTTGGGGGCATCCATGAGTCATTTGAAAATGGAAGTATGTGTCTGATGTATGTCCTGAAACTTGGTCTCTGATAGTGATTATCTGTGCTGATGCTTTAGAAATTGTGTAATACAATATAGGAATCGTATTTCTCCATTTAACTAAAAATGTCATCTCTTAGGACTTGGCTGATGAACTTGCTCTTGTTGATGTCATGGAAGACAAGCTGAAGGGAGAGATGATGGATCTCCAGCATGGCAGCCTCTTCCTTAGAACCCCCAAGATTGTTTCTGGCAAAGGTCAGTTGAGCAAGTCTATATATATATATAGACATAGCTCATGCTAGGCTTACATCTTTAGGGAGAGGGAGAGATTTCCCCTCCATTGTTCCCTTCCCCAGTGGCCACAGTTGCTGGGACAGGGCCAGGCTGAAGCCTGAACTCCTGTCTTAGCCTCTCATCTGAACTGGGAAAAATTAAAGAAAGCCTTATCCCAGCTACCCCAACTGGTCATATGAAGCTGGAAGTGGGATTCAAGTTGAACGTCAAGGAAGACATTGATGTAGTCTTCCTCCACTAATGGGGCCAGAGTGATAAAATTCCCAGAAGCAGTGGAGAGATCTCCAGAGAAGGAGGAGCATGTACTCTGCCCCATGCACAACACAGGCTAGTGTGAGGAACAGACCTTTGTCTGGAGAGTTGTCCCAGAGGCTATAATCCAGGTTGCTTTCTCTAGACTACAGCGTGACTGCCAACTCCAAGCTGGTGATCATCACAGCTGGGGCGCGGCAGCAGGAGGGAGAGAGCCGTCTGAATTTGGTCCAGCGGAATGTAAACATCTTCAAGTTCATCATTCCCAATGTCGTCAAGTACAGCCCCAACTGCAAGCTGCTTATTGTTTCCAACCCAGGTGAGAATTTTCTGCATAAAACCATATAGAAAAGCTGTGGGAAGGCTGCTAATGCATGTTCTGCTTTGTAGATGGGTGGTTACTGGGGTTTGTTCATTATTGTTTCAGTTCCCTCTCCACTAGATCTTTTCTGAAAGTTAGTTGCTGTCCTCCCTTTTGCTATACAGTGATTTAGTTAATGCACAATAACTACTTTTTGAGTGTTAGTGGAGTCAGCCTAGATTAGCTGGTGATGTTAAGCTGCTAAGAAAATGTTGATTCGAAGAGCCAGTCCTCAGCTAATGATTTAACTAACTCTTCCTCAATGTGTTCTCTGTAGTGGATATCCTGACCTATGTGGCTTGGAAGATAAGTGGCTTTCCCAAAAACCGTGTAATTGGAAGTGGCTGCAATCTGGATTCAGCCCGGTTCCGATACCTGATGGGGGAAAGGCTGGGAGTTCACCCATTGAGCTGCCACGGGTGGGTCCTTGGAGAACACGGAGATTCAAGTGGTAAGCATAAATTGGTTATGTTTGCAAAGATTGTGTTAAAGCTGACAGGCATTTATTGCTAAATTACAGCTCAAATCAGGTATGCATTAATGATGGGAGAATGGTTCCCTGCTATGGTTCATGCAATTAAATCAAATAGGGAGAGGGATCAGCATTGTGGCATCCCCTATGGGTGCTACTTTGAGTCCTAACTGTTCTATTTCTGATCCAGCTTCCTGCTGGGAAAGCAGCAGAAGCTAGCTCAAGAAGTTGGGCACTTATATAAGACACCTAGATTAATAAGTTCCAGGTTCCTGGCTCTGACCTGGCGCAGAACTGTTGTGACCAAAAAGAGGGTGGAATCTTTAAGATTTATTTATTTATTTTTATTACAAAGTCAGATATACAGAGATAAGGAGAGACAGAGGAGCAGATCTTCCATCCGATGATTCACTCCCCAAGTGACCGCAACAGCTGGTGCAGCACCGATCCAATGCCAGGAACTGCTTCTGGTCTCCCACACGGGTGCAGAGTCCCAAAGCTTTGGCCCATCCTCGACTGCTTTCCCAGGTCATGCATCTGAATATCCCATGGGGGTTTCTGGAGCCATCATCTGCTGCCTTCTGAGTTGTATTAGTAGGGAGCTACACCAGCAATGGAGCAGGCAGGAGTCAAACCAGCATCCTGATGTGGGATACCAAAACACTATGCTAACCCCTACTTCAATTGCCTACCTTGGCAATTAAATCAATCTGGGCCTAGCTCAATAGCCCATTGGCTAAATCCCTGCTTCTACTGGCATCCTAAATAGGCTCTTGGTTTGTATCCTGGTTGCTTGCCATCTAGTTCCCTGCTTGAAGCATAGGAAAGCCATAAAGGATGGCCCAAAGCCTTGGTGCCCCTGCACCTGCGTGGGAGACCCAGAAGAGACTCCGCTCCAAGTGGATTGGCTCCACTCCAGTCATTGCAGCCACCTGGGGAGTGAACCAATGGACAGAAAATCTTTGTCTTTTCCTTCTCTAAATCTGCTTTTAGAATAAAAGTTAATAAACTAATCCAAATACAATACATGAAAAATCTTATCAAAGTTGAAAGCAATTCTTGTTTGTACAGAATTTTAATACTTATGTCAATGTCCCTCTTATATTCTCATTTTGTCTTTATTTTGTCTTTATTTTGAGTATATATGGATTTAGCATTCTAATAGGCTAAGAACTGGCAACAGGGAGTAACCCTTTTATGCAAAGAGTTAGAAAAATGAATCGTGATTAGCAAATTTCTTGTGCACAAAATTTAAGTATCCTGTGCTGTGTTTGTTTCAGTGCCTGTATGGAGTGGAGTGAATGTTGCTGGTGTCTCCCTGAAGACTCTGCACCCAGAGTTGGGCACTGACTCTGACAAGGAGCAGTGGAAGCAGGTTCACAAACAGGTGGTTGACAGGTAATAGAGCTTGTAATTTGGTAACATGGAGGACTAGCTTTTAAAGTTTTTGAAAGATTGGATCTCAGTTCTTAGAAAACGTTAAGATCATGCAAGAAAAAATTAACAAGAACAGAAAAACACTAAGAGTGGCTGAAATAAAAGCCACGACAGCACCGTTTGCTGGTGAGAATTTGAGAAGTTGGGTCACTCAGCCATTTTTTGTTTCAAAAGCAAAGTTACTGAGAGAAAAGGAAGAGATCTTGCATCTGTTGGTTCACTTCCCAAGCAATTGTAATAGCTGGGGTCAGATCAAGCCATAGCCAGGAGCCTGGAATTCCACCCAGGTCTCCCACGTGGGTAGCAGTGGTCCAAGCGTTGCACCATTGTATTCCCAGCTGTATTAGCAGGAAACTAGATTGGAAGTTAAGAAGCAGGGACTTGAACTACTGATATGTTCTGTTGGCATTGTAGGCCAGTGGGTTCATCTGCTGTCACAATGCTAGCTCCAATTCATCCATTGTTGGTGGGCATGTTAAATGGTACGAGTACTCAGATAGGTCCTTTAAAACTAAAAACGGAGGGGTCAGTGTGATGGCTTGGTGACTAAAGTCCTCATTTTGGCATGCGCCTGGATCACATGGGAGCCAGTTCTTGTTCTGGCAGCTCCACTTCCCATCCAGCTCCTTGCTTGTGGCCTATGAAAGACAGTTGAAGACAGGCCAAACCCTTGGGTCCCTGTGTGGAAGACCTGGAAGAAGCTCTGGGCTCCTGGCTTCGGATTGGCACAGCTCTGGCTGTGGCCAATTGGAGAGAATCTGCAAATGGAAGATCTCTCTGTTTCTCCTCCTATCTAACTTTCCAATAAAAATAAATCTTAAAAACCCTAAAAATGGGTTCAAGTGGATTTGCATACAATTCAGCAGTTAATGCATTCCAAGGAACTAGAAACAGGTTTACATGTACACAATAGAAGCTACTGCACATTAAGGGCATTATTTATTACAACACATGCAGTTCAGTAATAGCTTGTTTTGCTTTGTTTATCTTATTTTTCCACGGTTTCCTGCCCTGCAGTGCTTATGAGGTGATCAAACTGAAAGGTTATACATCCTGGGCCATTGGACTGTCTGTAGCAGACCTGGCAGAAAGTATAATGAAGAACCTCAGGCGGGTACACCCGATCTCCACCATGATTAAGGTGGGTTTCTGCAGTGAAACTTTGTATTTGTATGCTGTATTTCATGTGTTTTGTTTTTTTAAAAATGATTCTGAGGAAGCATGAGATGAATGTAAATCTTCAATCACTATCTTCTATGGAATCCTGGAAAGAAGTAGTTGACGCTGAATATTGGTGTTCTAGGACTGTTGAGCACATTAGGGGTGGGGCACGGTTTCTCTGCCGGGGTCATCTGGATATTTGTCATTTGCAGAGCATCTAAAATGGTTGCCTTAAAAACTTGCCTGCTCTGGATTTCTCAAATTTCAAGTGCTTTCCTGCAGCTGCCTTGGCAGGGCCAGATCATGCGATTTGTTTCAGGCTAGGTGTTTCCACCCTGACAGATTCTTAATTTTTGATAATTTGTGTCGCAAGCTACTTATATTGAGGTAAATCAAGATTATTTTAAAAACTATCATTTATCTTTTTTTAATCTTTAGAAGAAATAGAAACTACATTGAAGGTATCAAAATGTTTTAACGGTAAAAAATTGGAAAGTGCTATGTGTAATGATAGATTTTTCTAGAATGGAAATCTATTTTGATGACATTGTTTTTTAGTACTAGGAATTAGTGAGTTGTGTTAAATAAGCTTCCTAAGGATCAAGAAACCCAGGATGCACAGACCAAGGTTAAAATATTTGCTGTTTTGCCTTCAGGGTCTCTATGGCATCAAGGATGATGTCTTCCTGAGTGTTCCTTGCATCTTGGGACAAAATGGCATCTCTGATGTCGTGAAGGTGACGCTGACTCCAGATGAAGAGGATCGTTTGAAGAAAAGCGCAGATACACTCTGGGGAATCCAGAAGGAGCTGCAGTTCTAAAGTCCTCTACCATGCCGACACGCCACTGTCTAGGCTACAACAGGGTTTTAGTTGGAGGTTGTGCATGTTGTCCTTTTAATCTGATGTGATGAAAGCAGTGTCACAATAATGGCCCTGAGAGAGGGAAGAGCCATCCGTGTCCTAGTTAGAACAGCCTGTAAAATCCCACAGCTACATCCTGATGCTGGCCACTTCGCTTGGTGGCATCCTAGACTGGTTAGGGTGAGAGCTGACCACTTAGGAGCCACTGCCCATGTTGCACAGGCTCCAGTTGCCCATCTGACTAGACGTGTTTTTTGTGTGCTTTGTAACTTCTGGTTCCTTCACCAATTGTGCTTAGTTCAACTTCCCTAGCCAGTCACATCCTGGCTTCCAATATTGTACAAATTCAATATCGCGTGTCTTGTGCAGAACTGTTGTTCTAAAGGATCTTATTTTGTATACTGTATGTATGAGTAGTATATGCTGCCATGTAATGTAAAAGGGAAGATCTATGAACAATGCAACCAGCTATCCAGGTGTCATGCCAACTGAGTCCCCAAATAAACCTTGAACACTGACCACTTTCTTTGATTTATGCCATTTGTTATAGATTATCCAGAAATTACTAAGCGTACGAAATAACTCAGTAAAAATGAAAGGGCAACTGGGTTGCCCTTTCCATTGCAATCAAGTTTTTATTTTTAAAGATTTTATTGGAGAGTAAGACAAAGAGAGGAGAGGGAAAAAGGAAAATTCTCTTAACTGATGATAGTGCTGCAACGGTCAGAGCTGAGTCCATCTGGAGCCAGGATCCTCCTCTGGATCTCTGACATAGGTACAGGGTTGAAACTGGGAACTTCAAATCTCCAAGGTCTGACAGGACCCTCCCTACTTGAGCCATCACCAGGCTGTGCATTAGCTGGAATGGAGAGTGAGCCAGGATCTGTCCAATGAGTCACTCCCTGGCTGGTGCTGTTCCAATCCAAAGCCTGAAGCCAGGAACTTCTTCCTGGTCTCCCACACGGATGCAGAGTCCCAAGGCTTTGGGGCACCCTCGACTGCTTTCCCAGGCCACAAGCAGGGAGCTGGATGGGAAGTGTTGCTACCGGTGCCCATATGGGATCCCAGTGCATTCAAGGTGAAGACTTTAGTTGGTAGGCATGCTGCCAGGCCCAGAAGTTAATTTTAAAACAAAGTAGCTGTAGGGGCTGGTGTTGTGGTATATCATGCTGAGCCTCTGTGACACCAGTATCCCATTTGAGCACTGATTTATGATTCCTGTACTTCCAACCTAGCTGCCTGCTAAGGGTCTGTGAAAGTAGAGGATGGCTGTAATCTTTGGGTCCCTGTATCTTCTTGGAACAGCTGGAAGAATCTCTTGGCTCCCAGTTTTAGACTGATCTAACTGGCCTTTGGCCATTTGGTGAATGAACCAGCAGATGAAAGATGTTTGTAACTCTGCCTTCCCAATAAAAATGTCTTTTTTAAAAGATTTACATCGGGTCCTGTTGTGGCCCAGCAGCTAAAGTCCTCGCCTTGAATGCACCAGGATCCCATTGGGCACCAGTTCTAATCCTGACAGCCCAATCCAGCTCCATGCTTGCAGCCTAGGAAAAACCTTGGACCTTGCACCTGTGTGGGAGACCCAGAAGAGGCTCCTTGCGTCAAATTGCCTCAGGTCCAGTCATTGTGGCTTGATCCTGGACACTCCCATAAGCATTTTGGGCATTCCAAGCAGCAGCTAGTAACTACACCATGCCTTCCACCTTTAAATCTTTTTTGAAAGACAATGTATATTAGTATTTTTTGTAAAGTTAATACCAACATGATTGAAAATATTTAGGCAAAGTAGGTTCATTTATTCTTAGGAATTTCAGATTTAACCTTCCAAAGCTTCTTTGCTCTTGGGCACAAGTGTTTCAGGCTCACATTACCTCCTGCCTCGGATAAATAGGTCAGCCCTGTGAGGAGGCTCAGGAGATCAGGCAAAGGTTTTCCACATTTCCCACAAGTTACCAGTTGGTTGAGAACAACATAGCAGTCCCTTACTTACCAAATGAAACTTGAAGGGATGATCGTACAAAAATTCTTTTCTGCCTACTTCTGTACCAGTGGCAAATGCTGCAATACAGAGGGTACTATATTTCTGGGTGGGCCCAGCACAATAGCCTAGTGGCTAAATCCTCACCTTGCAACTGCCAGGATCCCATATGGCCACTGGTTCCTATCCTGCATGTGCCACTTTACATCCAGCTCCCTGCTTGTGGCTTGGGAAAACAGTAGAGGCTGGCCTCAGCTCTTGGGATCCTGCACCCACATAGGAGACCTGGAAGAAGCTCTTTTTTTTTTTTTTTAAGATTTATTATTGGAAAGGCAGATTCACAGAACAGGAAGATCTTCCATCTGTTGATCATAGTTTTGAAAATGCCTGCAAGTCAAGATGTTAACAAGCATGTGGTAGCTGCATCATCCAACGTTGCTTAAACTGGTTGGTCACCTCAGCCTCTGTAAATTGCTTTTTCCAGGTTTCTGGGCTGGGTGTGGTGTGGTGGGCCAGCCCTCCACTGCCTGTGAACTCTGCCAGCCTGTCTCCCCGCATGCAGCCAACCGCGGTCGCCTCAAGAGCAGGAAGCCTCCGTGGGCAGCGTGGTGGAAACCAAGTTTTCCAGATGTCTCCCCAGGAACCTAGACTCTCAGTGGCTGGGGGTGGGGTGGGGTGGCAGGGTTTCCAAAGGAGCCTGGAGCTTCACATTAATCCCAGACCTAGGTGGGCTGAGGGAACTCAAACAACATCCGTATCCTGGTCTTGCACACTCTTACGGTGCCTCTAGAAGCCTTGAAATCAACATTGGGATAACAACCTCGCAAAGGAGCTGTGCACAAGGACACCTAGCCTTGGCCAATGCGCCTGCGCCTGGGCGGCTGTAGGGGCGGGGTTTGCGTGTGACGTGGACTACCGCGTGGAAGCGTCCTCGCGTGGCAGCTCGCGGGCAGTGACCGTTGCTGGACTTGGCACGTTAACTGTCGTTGGTGTCGTTTGCTGATGCCACTCTGGTCTTGCCTTGCGCTTTCAGGCCAGCTGTTCCGAATTAACGCCAAGCAGAGCATTAGTGAGTGGCAGGTGCGGGGCGAGGGGAAGTGCTGGTGGGGGTGGGGAGAAGAAAGCTTTACCTCAGAAGACAAATTTCCCGCCGCACCCACTAGACCGTTCTTTAGCTTTCCTCCTCCCAGCTCCAACATTCTGTAAGCTCAGGAGAGGTAGGTGGTTCCTTAGCTGTTTCCTGTGTTGAGTACCTTGTGGCTGTGAGAATCGGGCTCCCCTGAACGGCCGTATTCCTGTCAGGCCCTCAGGATGTCGACAGTCAAGGAGCAACTTATCGAGAATCTGATCGCAGAAGACAAGGCCTCCCAGTGCAAGATCACCATCGTTGGAACTGGTTCTGTGGGCATGGCTTGTGCCATTTGTATCTTGCTGAAGGTGAGTGCTTAGGCAAGTCCATCTGTGGCTAGACATCAAGGAAGCACCTTTAGGTCTTCAGTGTTGCTGAGTTCAAACAGAAGGGTAGAGTTTTGACAGCAAATACGTGTCTTCTCATCCAATTTGGATTTAATTTATGAAACACTTATTTGGGGCTGAGTATGGCTAAGCTATTTATTCACAGGGTGATCTTTTGGGATACAAGAGCCACTTGGGATGTCTGGTTTCTAGTCATGGCTGCTCCCCGCTTCCAAATCAGCTCCCTGCTAATGAGCACGGGAGACAGCACATGATGTTAACGTCTTGGGCTCCTGCCACCTCCCCACACGGAAGACTCGGCTGGAATTCCCAGCTTGATCCAGGCCTCGTCCCTGCTGGTGGGAGGAATTTAGAGGGAAGAGCGTGTGCCCGCTCACTCTCTCCTTCCCTCCCCCCCTGCCATGCTGCCTTTCAAATACATCTTGAAAAGTGCATATTTCAGGCTAGTGTTGTGGTGCAGTGGGTTAAGTTGGAATCAGGAGTTGGAGCCAGGAGTTGAAATCAAATACTCTTATATGGGATGCAGGATGTAGACCACATACCTCTAACAGATATGGACAACTAGCTTGGACCTTCCAATCCGTGAACTTGCAGTGTCTTTCCATCCATTTTATAGTTTTTGTTCTCTCATTTTAAATGTAGCATTTAATCTTCGTAGTAACTTTCAGAGCTTAGTTACTTTATCTACATTTATGAACAGCTGCTAGGTGGATGAGTCAAATCTGAACACAGGTTCTGTGCTCCTAATTACTGTACTGAACAGTTTAGTGTTTGGAACCCTTCAGAGCAAGATGACAAGAAGCAAAGCCAGTTCAATTCTAGAATGCAAGGAAATCTGTACTTCCAATTTCTAATCTTTTAAAAAAAGATTAAAAAAACAATAAAAAAGAAAACAAAATGAAGATTAAGATGAAACTTTAAAAAATTATAATTATTATTTTATAACGCAGTTCCAGAAGGCTCTAGGATTTCCCCTTCCCGCTCTGAACTCTCCTCCCCTCACTGGTTTCCCCTGTGCTATTACAGCAGTGTAGTCCTGTGTGCATCACTATGCAATCTGATCATGTCCTCACATTGTAGGTACGGATGATGGCAGAGAACCCATCATCCTTTTGTAAAGATACATTTTTAAAAAAGATTTATTTATTCTATTTTTTTAAAGATTTATTTATTTTTATTACAAAGTCAGATATACAGAAAGGAGGAGAGATAGAGAAGATCTTCCATTCGATGATTCACTCCCCAAGTGACCACAATGGCCGGGGCTGTGCCGATCCGAACCCAGGAGCCAGGAACCTCCTCCAGGTCTCCCAGGCAGGTGCAGGATCCCAAAGCATTGGGCTGTGCTTTCCCAGGCCACAAGAAAGAAGCTGGATGGGAAGTGGAGCTGCCAGGATTAGAACTGGTGCCCATAAGGGATCCCGGTGTGTTCAAGGCAAGGACTTTAGCTGCTAGTCCATGCTGCTGGGCCCAAGATTTATTTGTTTTTAATGGAAAGGCAGATATACAGAGAAGAGGAGAGACAGACAGGAAGATCTTCCATCCGATGATTCACTCCTCTAGTGGTCTTAATGGTCAGTGCTGCGCCGATCCAATGCCAGGAGCCAGAAACTCTTCCGGGTCTCCCATGCGGGTGCAGGGTTCCAAGGCATTGGGCCATCCTTGACTGCTTTCCCAGGCTGCCAGCAGGGAGCTGGATGGGAAGTGGATCAGCTGGGATTAGAACCGGCTCCCATATGGGATCCTGGCGTGTTCAAGGCAAGGACTTTAACCACTACGCTATCGTACTAGGCCCTGTCAAGATATATTTAACAGTTTATTTGGCAGTTCACCTTTGATTTGGAATTAGAAATGCATACTGCATTGCATCTTCACAACTGGGTATGATAGTTTTAAATTACACAGTTATTATACCTTCCCTTAAATGAAAAGCTGTAAATGAAAATAACAGGAAGAGTAATAGAAAATTTATAACAACATGAAGTTGAAAAACATGCTACTGAATAACCAATATGTTGCTGAAGAAACGAAAAAGAAAATTGAAAACCTTTTTGAGGAAACTTCTGAAATGGCAGGACATAATGTTTGTAGATATATAAACGTCACTGCTCATCATGAAGAATCACAAAGGAAGGCCTACTTCCAATGAGATGTCAGAACTCGAGTTACGAGGGAAGGCCAAGGGTACAAAAAAACCTTTAAAAAAATAGAAATGAACTACAGTATGGCAAATAGCCAAGTGAGGTAGAGTAGTTTAGGACCTTCATATCATGTTCATGTATACTGTGAATAAGTTGGAAGTAATGAAAGATATCAGATTACATATTCATGGAATGGATGTGTAACCTTGCGTGTAAGATGCCAGTGGAGAAGCCCATGTTCCAAAGCAGAGTGCTGGGGGGTGGTAGTTGGCTGCAGCGTCCAGTTTCAGCTTTCTGCCAGTGCACATCCAGGAAGACAGCAAGGGATGGCTCAGGTGGCTGGGGTCTCTGCTGCCCATGTGGGAGCTCTGGATTAAGTCCCTGGCTTCTGGCTCCAGCCCTGGCCCAGCCTTTGTGGGTATTTGGAGAGTAAACAGGTAAATGGGGAACTTATTCCCCTTAGTTTTGTGGATGGTAACTTCTAATTGTGGTTGCTGTCTATCTCGAGTTACCACAAATATTCCCTTTTTGCTCTTTGAACCCTGTGATATCAGTCTAATCAATTCCCTACATTAAATTCTGGAGGCCTTGGTTGTGGTGTAATGGTTTAAGTCCTGGCTGCAGTCTACCATCCTATATGGGTGCTTGTTTGAGTCCTGGGCACTCCACTTCTGATCCAGCTCTCTGCTGGTGTACCTGGGCAAGCAGTAGCATATGGCTCAAGCACCTGCTGCCCATGTGAGAAAGCCCGAGAAAGCTCCTAGCTCCTGGCTTGGCTTGGCTGAGCCCTTTGGAGCCATTTGGAGAGTAAGCAACAGAGGTCTCTCTCCCTCTGTCACTCTGCCTTTCAAATAAAACCTTTTAAAAAATTTTTGTTGAGGGCCTGGCACAATGGCCTAGCAGCTAAAGTCTTCGCCTTGAATGTGCCTGGAATCCCATACGAGCACCTTTTCTAATCCCAGCAGCCCTGCTTTCCATCCAGCTCCCTGCTTGTGGCCTGGGAAAGCAGTTGAGAACGGCTCAAAGCTTTGGGACCCTGCGCCTGCATTGGAGACCTGGAGGAAGTTTCTGGCTCCTGTCTTCAGATCAGCGCAGCACTGGCCATTGCAGCTGCTTGGGGATTGAATCATCAGACAGTATATCTTCCTCTCTCTCTCCTCCTCTCTGTATATCTGCCTTTCCGATGGAAATAAATAAATCTTTAAGAACAAAACAAAAATGTAAAAAGAATTGTTGAAATGCCTGGAATTTTTTCTGCTTTCCTGATCAGACTCTGAGACACAGACTGATACAGAAGATCCACACATGTAATCTGGTTTTCCTATCAGTTAGCCAAGAAGTGTGATGTGTGATCCTTCTGTATTAAATTTCTTATTCTCCCATTTTTGATGTATTACACATGACTTACTTTTAGAATGTAGTTGGGCTTCCGTGTCTCCATAGGTTCCACATACATAGATTGAACCAGCCATGAATTGAAAATGTTAAAAGCCAGGAGCCAGGGATTCCATTCAGGTATCCCGTGTGGCAGTTGGACCATCCAATGCTGCTTCCTACAGTATGTTAGCAGGAAGCTATAGAAAAGCAGAGAACCTGGGACTTGAACTGACACTCTGATATGGAATGTGGAGATCCCAAGCAGTGGTTTAACTGGATATTCCACAATGTCAGCCCCAATTATAGCCATTTAAAACGAGGCTGGAGTGTCTGTGGATGTTGGTATCTGAGCAGTCTTGAAACCAGTCATCTCATCATCCATGGGTAACATGGGTGACTGTCTACAGTTCTCCAAAAAGACCAGATGGTATCTGACTCATAAAAAGTAGTAGTAAGTAGGGACTTTGACTATGTCTTTTACTGTTAACCTTTGGAAATCTTGCCACTGGAATCGACTATAACTGAACTCCGTTTTCATCTGGTGAATGTGGAAATTAAAGTTAGCAAAAAGCATTGACATTGATTAAATAGCTGGAAAATCAGTAGAACAAGCTCCGTGTGCTCCTGGGTTCTGATGCTCAGATATAGTAAGACATGGTTCCACATATCTGGGTTTAGATTCCTTCTGTTGGCTTAATTCTTATTCATGGTCTTTCCATATTGTGGCAGATAGATACAGTTTATTTATAGAAAGTCCTATGTCATTCTTCGAGCTCATGATTCCAAAGAAAACTAAGATTTGGTTCCCCATGTTTCATTTTCAAACCTGGTCAAAATTGTGTCCAGGTGTTGTGTCTCTGCCATATCCTGTTTGGAAACTAACTGATGCAGTTGAAAGGAAGGGATGGTATAATAGGCTGATACTGGCCATAGCTTAGAGGACCAGGGTTAGCTGTTAAACTGCACTTTATCACATTCAATAGAGTTTCTATAGAAAAGAAGAATTTTATTACCAGAAAAGGGGATACCAGGGACAGATATGAAGAAGAGATTGCTGAAAACAGCAGATGTTCACTGTAATTAGCTGCCTTTTTTTTTTTTTTGGCTGCAAGATTGTGGGCTAAAAGTAGCTTCTGCCAACTCAAAAATTAGGCTTAATATTTGGTATAGAAATCCTGTCAGAGAACTTCATAACTTTCTCTTTAGAAAAAGTTTTATTTATTTGGAAGGCAGATTGTCAGAGAAGGAGGGAGTACAGTGGGGAGGGGGGAAGTAGTAGATGAATGGGTAGAAGGGGAAAGAGATAGAGGTCGACTCATTTCCCAAATACTTTGCAAAAGGCTGGGTTAGGCCAGACCAAAGCCAGGCACCTGGAACTCCATCCAGGTGTTCCATATAGGTATCAGAAACTCAAGTGCTTGGGTCATTATCTGATGCTTCCCAGGTATATTAGCCATGACTGAAACCAGACACTCTGACATGGGATAATGGGCATCCCAAGTAGCATCTTAACACTCTTCCACAGTGCCCTTCTCTTACTGGTTTTGTAACTGTTATATAAAGGATAAAAATCTCAGTTCTAGCAATTTTTTTCAATGATGTTTACATAGTTGAGAAGGATGCATGCCCATCTGGACCTCTGATTAGGGTGGGAAGGGTTGAGGAATAGGGGCAAATGGATGAGACCATTGTTTGCAATTTTCTTTTACTTCTTCCTGTATCTGGAGGAAGGGGAGATAGAAGCAGGGAAGCCACACCCAGCATCCTAACTGCATCAGGACCTGGGAGTGGGGACTGGTCATCCAGTGTCAACCCAGGGTCCCTGATGTGGAGCATGCGCCAAGAGTACTGCTCAAGTGGTCTTGATAGTTTTGAGATGCTGTTGATGCAATTGCTCCAAGGTTCATTGTTGACATGGTCCACCTTAGTCTCCATTTGTGCAGATGCTTGCTGTCAATGCTTGTCTAGGAGAATTGTTCAATTTGTTCTGTCCTCCATGCTCTGCCATGGTACCAGATGTCCTGTGCAGTCGCCAATGGACTGGCATATCCTCCATGTGCATCTGGGTATGCTGTCTATATCGTGTTCAGCAACTGCGGAAGGCCAGTTCTGACACATGTACTCCATGGTCAGACCATAGATCCTGCAAATATTTCATTGGTTCAATTGGGTGGGTGGGAGGATCTTCAAAGAAATGTCCTCTGAGGTGACCCCAGACCTGACTGCTCTATGTGCTCGCTAGTCCAGGTCTGGCTCAATCTGTCACCCATATCAGCCTACACATGCACTCATGGTTGCAGTTGCTGGGTTTTGCCTCTGGCCCCATCTCTTATGCAAACCAACAGATGCTGTGGCCCAGCCCAACCCTGCTTACCACACACTTAGCACTCCTAATGTACACCAGAGGAAATTGTAGCCCAGTTAGAATGACTCCCAAGAACTACAAAGCCTGCCCCTGGCCTGGTTCCTGCATATGCCAGTATGTGCAGCAGACTGGTCCATTCTGTCCCCATATCCCATTTAGCTTATGTATACACCAATGGCTGTTGGAGCAAAGCTCCATCCAACTAGTGCCACTGTCTAGCCCACACTTATGCTGATGGGTGCCACAGAAGTCCTGCCAGATCCACCCCTATCCCTACCCCTACCCCTGGCTCTCATGCTCACTGCTGGGAGCTGCAGTCCATCAGGGAGGTGCCCAAGTTTCCCTACTGTGTCCACTCCCAGCTCTGGATCTTGTACTCTCCAGGTGATTCTGCAGTCTAGCTTGACAAGGCTTGTCCCCACATTTCCCAACACTTGCCATCTGATGCTGTCACAAAATCTAACTAACCTGTGCTTGCTCTGGTTCATGCATGCCCCAATGGGTACAGTCAGTTAGCCCAGCTTGGCTCTCCCCCCTAACCCAGTTCACATGCAGGCCAATGGGTGTTGTATTCCTGGCTAGCCTTGCCTGCCTCTGGTCCCAGTTCTCACACTTGCTAGTGGGAGTATTCGCCCAGTAGGGCAGTCTTGCTGCTCCTCTACCAGGCTCGCCTCTCACCCCACCCCACTTGGTCTCACATGTGCTGGTAGGTCCAGTGGCCCAGTCTGGCATGGCCTATATCACCTCAGCATTTATCGATCAATGCTGTAGCCTGGCCTTACCCAGACTGCTCTTAGTTCCAGCATATGCTGGTGGATACTGCAGCCTAGCCCAGGCTGGACTGCCTCCAGCCCTGGCCCTAATGTGAACTGGTTACCGTTGTAGCCCAACCTGCCTGTCCTGTACCTCAGATATGGCAGTGGGTGTTATGAACTGGCCCAGCCTGCCTGCCCCTGACCTGTGCCATTCATATGCCAGTGTACAGTGTAACTTGGCCTGGTCTGGACTGCTCTCAGCCTTGATTCTTGTGCTCACCTGCAGGGACTGCATCCTGATAGAGGAGTTGTTCTAGCAATTTCTAACAGTTATGTTAAAGCAAAAACATAATTTTTTTTGCTGCTGCTTAATGCTTAATTTGACTTCTGATCAGTCTGAGGTAATTTGTAAACCATTTTTGTATGATTTATTGGCATACCATAAATATGAGACTCCTTTGACTATAAGCTTCACAATCTCCTAAAAGTTACCTAGGAACATTTTCCAGAACATTTTAATTTGAACTTTTATATGTTTTAGGATTTGGCTGATGAACTTGCCCTTGTTGATGTTGCAGAGGACAAACTGAAGGGAGAGACGATGGATCTTCAACATGGCAGTCTTTTCTTTAGTACTTCAAAGATTACATCTGGAAAAGGTTCATTTTAGTTTCATAAAGTTATTTTCACAGCTTTAGAAAAAGTATTACATTTATTAAACTGATCTTTACAGACATAAAATTTGAAATACTTTGTCATCAGGACATACTGTCTAAAAAGTTAATTTGCAAGGAAATAGCATTGTAATTTAGAGAACATTTTGAAAGTGCAGGCTAGTTGCAAAGAAGGTTTGAATCTCTTCTGTTATGATTTTGTTTATATCTGTATGTGACCACAGTGGCTAGTGCTGTGCTGATCCAAAGCCAGGAGCCAGGTCTCCCTTGTGGTTGCAGGGTCCCAAGGCTTTGAGTTGTTCTCCACTGCTTTCCCAGGCCACAAGCAGGGAGCTGGATGAGAAGTGGAGCTGCCAGGATTAGAACCGGTGCCCACACGGGATCTGGGAGTATTTGAAGTGAGGACTTTAGCTGCTAGGCCACAGCTCTGGGCCCATTTGTATGTATTTTTAAACCTGGTGTTATAGTATTCAAATGCCTTTTAAACTTGTCATTCTGTCTTATTTTCCTAAGGATATTAGTCATGAGTCGTTTCTATAATACAATGAATATGTTTGTTTGTATGCTTCAACCTGGTTTTCTTTCTGTAGTAGAGAAACAAATTTCAGAAATGGGATGAGGCCACAGGACATAGAACTTCAAGAATTTGGCCCCATTTTTATTGGCATCGTAGCACAGACAATTAAGAAGCCTTAGAAAATTGGAGAAGTAATTGTTTTGTCGTGCATTGAATTGTGCCCCTATAGTGCTATCCTTGATACTGCATTTCAACAGATTGACTCTTACTTAAGCAGTCACATCCAACATGATTGAAACTGTAGGTGGCAACTTAATTTAAATATATTAGACAAGGCTACCTCCAATATCATATTGACCTAAAATATGTGCAGATACCCAGTTCTGTTTGCCAGTTTCCTGGTTGTGGGATGCCCTCTGTATGGCTCACCAGATGGGGGTTCTGTAGTGCATCTTCTCTTTCTTTTCTTCTTTTCTCCCTTCCTTCCTCTTTCTCACTATCTTGCTTTCTTAGATTTCTTTACTTTTTTCAAAGTCAGAGCCAGAGAGAGCAGGAGTGGGGAGAGAGTCCATGTGCTGGTTCACTCCTCAGATGGCCACAGTGACTAGGGCTGCACCAGGTCAAAACCTATTCAGATCTCACCATTCTCCAAACCTCAGTTTTGAATGAATTTACCTTTACCATGCATTTCTTTCTGTCTTAGTGATTTGTGTCACATTTAGTGATAGTGTTAATAGTGAATATAACTGGCATAAGTACATTTACATATAAATGTGACTAATTCTGGGTGTGCATCGCCTGATGGGCAGGAGAACCCAGACTTCCCGTCAGCTAGCTGCCAGCGTTCTGGTGTTAGTGTCCTGTATCAGTGAGCCCAGGGCATTAGTTAAGTGCAGTCTAGGTAAGAGCTGCTGCTGCTTGAAAATACTTTGAGAAAACCGTTCAGCCTTCAGTTTTTAATAACATCAGTCTTGGTGTTAATGACCAAAAACTGCATGAAACACAGAGGAAAAGTATCAATGCTTAAAGACATGACATGCTGTTAACAAAGTAAGACATTGGAAACAGTCATTGAGTGAAGTGAAGGAAGCCAAAGAATTCAACAGACACTGTAGGCTAGCTTTCAGCCCACATAATTAGATGAACTGTGTCAGCAAGTTTGATTTTCGCTGCCTCACAGAATTTAGAAAGCCAAAGGCAGAATCTTAAGCTTTGTCCTGATGGACCACGCTAAGGTCAGTAGGCCGCTGCTCCTGTTTTTTTCTTTTTTAAGATTTATTTTTATTATAAAGTCAGATATATAGAGAGGCGGAGAGACAGAGAGGAAGATCTTCCATACAATGATTCACTCACCAAGTGGCCGCAACAGCCGGTGCTGTGCTGATCCGAAGCCAGGAGCCAGGAACTTCTTCCAGGTCTCCCACATGGGTGCAGGGTCCCAAGGCATTGGGCCATCCTTGACTGCTTTCCCGGGCCACAGGCAGGGAGCTGGATGGGAAGCAGGGCTGCCGGGATTAGAACTGACACCCATATGGGACGCCGAAGCATTCAAGGCAAAGACATTAGCTGTTAGACCACCACACCTGGCCCCCAAATACAACTTCTAATTGTGAAATATAATGGGGTAAAGGCTCATTGGATTTAGGGATAGGTAGTATTTGAAGAAAACGTTTTTGAAAAGTCAGAAAGAAGTAGAAAATATTACAGATTGAGGATCACAGAGGGTAAAGTAACAATGTACTATGCATCTACTTAGAAAAATTAAGGGTACAGTGCCTGGCATGGTAGTCTAGTGGCTAAATCCTTGCTTTGCATGCACTAGGGTGCCATTTGGGTGCCAGTTCATGTCTCAGCTGATCCACTCCCCATCCAGTTCCCAGTCTTGGGACCGTGTACCTATGTGAGAGACCCAGAAAAATCTCCTGGCTCCTGGCTTCAGATCAGCTCAGCTCTGGTCATTGCAGCCACTTGGGGAATGAACCAGTGGATGGAAGATCTTTCTCTCTGTGTCTCTCTCTGTAAATCTGCCTTTCCAATAAAAAAAAAAGTATGGGTACAGATGAAACATTCAATGAGATTTGACTGAGCCTCTTATGTAACTAATGAAAAATGCAAACCCACAGATTCAAGAAGGCAAATAGTCTCAGAAAAGATAAATAATAAATCCTCCATATAGGCACAATTATGTGAAATTAGAGACCATTTAAGACAGCAAAAGATTCCAACAAATTTCAGAGAGAGACGGCTTTGGCCTGGTGGTCAGTTGCCAGTTTGTCTGCTCATGTTCCCCCTCAGGGTACCTGGATTCCGTGCCTGCCCTGCTCCTGACTCCAGCATCCCAGCTGTGTGCATCCTGGGAGGAGCAGTGATGGTTAAAGTAATGGAGTCCTGCCAGGGAACTCATGGGAGCCCTGGATTGCGTTCCTGCCTCCTGACTTTGACCCTGCTCCCTACCTCAGCCATTTATGGGCATTTAGGGAATGAACTGGTGGATGAAAATTCTTTTCAAATTTAAAATCTAGAAATGAGATATTTTGACTAAGTTTCCCAATTTATTGACATGGAAAAGAACTCTCAGCTATATAACACTTAGAAAAAAAAACCAGTGGTGCAGCTTGGGTTAGTAAGCATGTTGGCCCTGTATTCAATATTTGAAACAATTTGAAGACTGGTGGTTAATTTTACTAGTTAGTGCATCTTTTTTTTTTTTGAATTTTCTTTTTTTAGAAAATTTATTTAGTTTTATTGCAAAGTTGGATGTATATAGAGAGAAGGAGAGACAGGAGAAGGAGAGACAGAGAGGAAGATCTTCCATCTGATAACTCACTCCCCAAGTGACTGCAACAGCTGGAGCTGCACCAATCTGTAGCCAGGAGCTTCATCTGGGTCTCCTCCTCAGGCCACAAGCAGGGAGCTGGATGTGGGACTGCTGGTATTAGAACTGACACCTATAATGGATCCTGGCGCATTCAAGGCGAGGACTTTAGCTGCTAGGCCACTGAGCCAGGCCCTTTTAAAAATTTTCCTTCAATTTACTTATTATAGTAGCATAACATTATTTTGATGATGTTTACATAATTGATTAGGGTGGGAAAGATAAAAAATCAGGGGAAAGTGAGTGAGACCATTGTTTCCAAATTTTGTTTTTCTTCTTCCTGTATCTAGGGGAAGGGGTAAAGAAGGGCAGAAGGGGAGAAGCTGCACCCAGTCTCCCAACCTCCCAACTGCCTCAGGACCAAGAGATAGGGAATGGCCACCTGATGTCACTGGGTACCCAATGTGGAACATGTTCTCAGAGTTCTGATCAAGTGGTTTTGATAGTTAAGAAATGCTGCTGATTTCATTGTTCTAAGAATTAGGAAATCCTTCTAAGGTCCACTGGCTGACATAATCCGCCTTAGAGTCTTCATTTACCCAGATATTTGCTGTCTATACTTGGCTGGGATACTGGGCTAAATTGTTCTGCCTTCCATCCTCTGCCGTGGTACCAGATGTCTTCTGCAGGCCCCAATGGACTGCCATATCCTCCTTGTGCATTTGGGTATGCCGTTCACTGCTCTGTCCACTGTGGAGGCCCAGTTCTGACACATGCACTTTATGGTCAGTCCACAGATCCTGTGAGTCTCCCCATGGTCAGAGTTCTGAGTCCAACAGTTTAGTTGGAGGGATTCCCAAAGAAACCTTGTCTGAAGTGATCTCAGACCTATTGTGTGTCAGTACAGGGTTGGCTTTTTGTACTGGGCTTGCCAGTGTAGGGTCACTCACATCAGCCTACGCACACATTGGTAGTTGCAATTGCTGTATCAGTACTGTCTCCAGCTCTGTCTTTTACATAAATAAATGAATGCTGCAGCTCAGCCCAACGCTGCCTACCACACACACCAGTGGGAGCTCACCTCTCGCTCTGGCTCCTATGCTTGCCAGTGCAGCTGACTGATCCAGTCTGTCACATATCCCATACAGCTCTTGTACAAATTAATGGGTATTGGAGGCTAGTTCAACCCAACTGACCTCAGTATTCAGCCCACATTCATACCTGCAGGTGCCACAGTCTGTCTAACAAGATCCGTCTCCAGCCTTGGTTTTCATGCTTACCAGTGGGAGTTGCAGCCCATCAGAGAATGCCCACAGTTTCCCTACTGGGCCCACTCCCAGATCTTGTACTCTCCAGGTGGTTCTACAGTCTAGCTTGACAGGATTTGTTCCCAATCCCAGCACTTACCAGCTGATGCTACAGCAAAGCCCAACTAACCTGCCCTTACTCTGGCTTATGCATGTATCAGTGGATGCAGTCAGGCTAGCCTGGCTCTCCCCTAAACCAGCTCACATGCAGGCCAATGGGTGTTGTATCCCTGGCTAGCCTGGTCTGCCTCTGGCCCCATTTCTCACACTTGCTAGTTGGAAGAGTGGTCCGGTAGGAAGTCCTCGCTGCTCCTCTACCAGGCTCACCCCTGATCCTTCATAACCTGGGCTGGTCTGAGCTGCTCCCAGACACATGAGTGTCAGAGTGAATATTGCCGTTTCACAAGGGTGAGCCCACATATCCCACACCAAAAAGCTGCCCCCAGACCTGGTTCTCTTGTATACAGGTTAGTGTCATGGCCCAGCCTAATAAAACCTGTTCCGTATTCTGAAACTCACTGGTGAATACTGTGACCTAGCCCTGCCAGGTAGGGCCCCAGCCCTAGCTTTTTTGTGCATTCATGGGTGGCAGTCAGTGTCATCTGCTCAAGTCAGGTCTCCCTAACCCAGCTCAGGTCTCCTATGTGTGTCTGGTTGCATCAGTCTGACCCAGGTTGTCCAGTTCCCCCTTCCAAACCACTCTATCTCAACCACCTCGCTTACCTGCAAGTCATTCCTCACCTGCAGCATACTCCCTCCCTCACATCCTCATACTGCCTCCCCTGAGTAGTCCATAGTCCCTGTGCCTGGGAGCACATGGGTTTACCAGGCCATTGTTCTCAAGTCCAGTCCTCTGGTGGGATGGCATGTTGGCTTGGAGCTCTGCTTGCCCATTAGAGACCCAAAGATCATAGATGGGTTTCCAAACCTGGTCCTCTGGCACTCCTGCAGGTCTGAGACCTTACCTCTCCACTCACCTGGGACGCAGGTGCCTGCGTAAGACCGAGGCATGGCCCACAGGCACACCATGCTAGCCTGAGGCTTTTCTTTCCCCTTCCTCCACCTCCTCCCCCACTTGGGCCTCAAACACGTGCCTGATCTCAGGCCTACTCACTCCAGGAAGAGTTGCCAGACCCCAGGACTTATGAAAGAGTGAGAACACTGGCAGATCTTGCTCTAAAAATGTCCTAACTAGTGTATCTTGTGTGTATCAAGAACTGGTTTATAATCTGAAATTCAGTTATTTTTAATAGAAGTAAATGCATTCCTACTCTTAGAATGCAGAAGTAGTATAGACTCTGAGTTTCTGATTATAAATTGTTCTGAAAAGTCAGACAATTGACTTTTAATTGCCTTAAGTGTTAATAACACATGAGAATGTGGGTTAGAGGAGATGATAAATTCTGTTATTCTAAAAAATTTAGAGCTGCCTATGTGAGAAATAGCAAGTAGTAGTGACAAGTGTTTTTCCAGGTTGTGCAAGATGATCACACTGCAGGAGTCTGTTGGTCTACAAACCTCAGGCATGGAGCACTTCAGTACCATGAAGGCTGATGGGTACTTCATTACCAAGATCATGCAATGGACTTTTTAAAGAGTCAGGGCACGGTGACACTGGGAATCTTGATCCAAATATCATTTCTTATTCCTTTTTAGATTACACCGTGTCTGCAAATTCCAAGTTAGTTATTGTCACAGCAGGTGCAAGGCAGCAGGAGGGAGAAGGTCGCCTTGCTCTGGTCCAACGTAATGTGACTATCATGAAATCCATCATTCCTACGATTGTCCGTCATAGCCCTGACTGTAAAATGCTTATTGTTTCAAATCCAGGTGAGTCTTTTCCCCTCCTAACTGCCTAAGGAAAATATTTCATATCTTTGCTTTTTAAAAAGATTTCTTTGATTTTTTTAAATTGGAAAGGCAAATGTACAGAGAGAAGAAGAGACAGAAAGTTCTGTCCAGTGATTCACTTCCCTAGTAGCCTCAACAGCTAGAACTGAGCTGATCCAAAGCCAGGAGCCAGGAGCTCTTCTGGATCTCCCACATGGATATGGGGTTCCAAGACTTTGGGCTGCCCTCGACTGTTTTCCCAGGCCACAAGCAGGGAGCTGGTGGGAAGGTGGGCAGCCAGGACACGAACCAGTTTCCATAAGGGATCCCAGCCATGTAAGGCGAGCATTTTAGCCATTAGGCTACTGTGCCAGGCCTCCACTGCTACTTTTTTTTTTAAATGTTTATTTATTATTTGAAAGAGCCACAGAAAGAGAGGGAGGGAAAGACAGATTTTTCTCCCATTCTCTAGTTCATTGATGAGATGAATGCATTGTCAGGGATGAGTCAATCCAAAGCCGGGAGCCGGAAGCATCCTCTAAGGCCTCCCACATAGGTAGCAGGGGCCCAAGCACTTGGGCCACCTTCTGCTGCTTTTTCCAGGTCATCAGCAGGGAGTTGGATTAAAAGTAGAGCAGCTGGGTCTTGAACCAGCAGCTTTATGGGCAGCACTTTCACCTGCTATGCTGCCATGCCAGCCCCTACACTATTGCTTTTTTTTCCCCACAAAAACAACTTTACTGGCATAGTAATATTTATGTGCAATAGACTCATTCAAAATACAGAAAGGAAGGAATTTTGATACACAAAATTTGTATTCAAAACACATTGTAACAGTTATGATTTTATTTCTAACGTGATACCACGGTACTTACAGTGGATATTCTGACATATGTGGTCTGGAAGATAAGTGGCTTACCTGCCTCTCGTGTCATTGGAAGTGGCTGTAATCTTGACTCTGCTCGTTTTCGTTATCTAATTGGGGAGAAGTTGGGTGTCCATCCCACAAGTTGCCATGGCTGGATTATTGGGGAACATGGTGATTCTAGTGGTGAGTATAAACCACCTGTCCTACTTCCATTACAGTCTGTTTTCTTTAAATTTTTGTTTTTATGCTATCAATGAAGCTATATATACTTTCATTTAGTTGCCATTTCCTTGGAGTATCTTTTTGTATTCCTTTCTTAGCTTTTTTTTAAGTTGGAAAATAATATTTATGACATGAAAGATATCAAATATAATTCAATGTGATCACAGTAACTGGCATACCGATCACTTCATACATTTACAATTTCTTTGAAGTGAGAACATTTAAAAACCAAAAACCACTCTTCTAGCAATTATGGGATATCCAACACATTGTAGTTAAGTGTCTTCACCTCACTGTGAAGTACAACACTAGCAGTTATTCCTCTCTGCTGTGCCTTTACCTGCTCAACCAATCTCTCTTCATTCTACCCTTCCCCCACATCTTCCTGGTTTCTGATAACCACTGTTCTCCTCTGAACGTGAATATGTGCTCAATGTGTTTAGATTCCACATAAGAATGAACTCGTATATTGTTTGTTTTTTCTGTGTCTGATTTATTTCACTTAACATAATGTCCTCCAGGTCAGAAATGACAGAATTTCCAACTGAGTAGCCTTTCCTGGTGTGTGTGTGTGTATACATATAACATATACACGTGATCTATAGGACACACATTTTATACATGCACATATATGCAATATATACACATTCACAAATACACATGTACAGATGCATACATGTGACAATAATACACATATATGTATATTTACACATATATAATATATTCACACATGTGTAGCCATATATGCACATTAACATGTGAAAAATATTATTAAGCCATGCATTTCTTATTGGACTTTCAGTTTGATTAAACCTGGCTGTTATGAATGATGTTTCCATAAACATGAGTGTGTCTGTTTGATATAATGATTCTATTGGGTTTAGTTATATGCCTAGTAGCCGGCTTGATGGATATTATACAATTCTGTTTTTTCTGAGGAGAAACATGCTTTCTGCAATGACTGTACTGATTTGTATTCTTTTTTTAGTAAATTTTATTTTGTATAATGACTATGTGAAGTGTTAGGTGGGAAGGATTGAGGTTTGGGAAAAATGGGTATACTCATTGCTTCCAAATTTGCTATTTCTCCTTGTCATTTCTGGGGGAAGGGGAAAAGCAAAGGGGGGAACCACTCATGATTTTTCATATGTCCCAGTATCCAGGGATGAGGAGCTGCCACCTCATATCAACCCAGAGGCTCGATATGTTCATACTCCGAGGGTTCTGATTTATATTCTCACCAGTAGTGTATGAGTTTTGGTTTCTCCATTACTTCCCTGGCATTTTTATTTCTCTCTTTTTAAAAAAGTTATTTTTTTATGATGTTTACATAGTTGAGAAGGTTGCATGCCCATCTGGACCTCTGATTAGGATGGGAAGGGTTGAGGAATAGGGGCAAATGGATGAGACCATTGTTTGCAATTTTCTTTTACTTCTTCTTGTATCTGGAGGAAGGGGAGATAGAAGCAGGGAAGCCACACCCAGCATCCTAACTGCATCAGGACCTGGGAGTGGGGACTGGTCATCCAGTGTCATCCCAGGGTCCCTGATGTGGAGCATGCGCCAAGAGTACTGCTCAAGTGGTCTTGATAGTTCTGAGATGCTGTTGATGTCATTGCTCCAAGGTCCAATGTTGACATGGTCCACCTTAGTCTCCATTTGTGCAGATGCTTGCTGTCAATGCTTGTCTGGGAGAGTTGTTCAATTTGTTCTGTCCTCCATGCTCTGCCATGGTACCAGATGTCCTGTGCAGTCGCCAATGGACTGGCATATCCTCCATGTGCATCTGGGTATGCTGTCGACTACATCGTGTTCAGCAACTGCAGAAGGCCAGTTCTGACACATGTACTCCATGGTCAGACCACAGGTACTCCCAGAACTTGCTGGAGTTCTGAGTCCAGCAATTCAGTTAGGGTTCTCCAAAGAAATGTCCTCTGAGGTGACCCCAGACCTGACTGCTCTATGTGCTCGCTAGTCCAGGTCTGGCTCAATCTGTCACCCATATCAGCCTACACGTACACTTGTGGTTGCAGTTGCTGGGTTTTGCCTCTGGCCCCATCTCTTATGCAAACCAACGGATGCAGCAACCTAGCCCAACCCTGCTTACCACACACTTAGCACTCATGTATACCAGTGGGAGCTGCAGCCTAATCAGGGTGCTGCCAATATGCCAGTATGTGCAGCAGACTGGTCCATTCTGTCCCATATCCCATTTAGCTTATGTATACACCAATGGGTGTTGGAGCAAAGCTCCGTCCAACCAGTGCCACTGTCTAGCCCACAATTAATGCTGATGGGTGCCACAGAAGTCCAATGAGGTCCATCTCTAGCCCTGGTTCTAATGGTCACTGCTGGGGGCTGCAGTCCATCAGAGAGGTGCCCAAGTTTCCCTACTGTGTCCACTCCCAGTTCTGGATCTTGTCTAGCTTGACTATACTTGTCCCTCAGCATTTGCCATCTGATGCTCTTGCAAAACCCAGCTAACCTGCATTTACTGTGGTTCATGCATGCACCAGTGGATAGTCAGCCTAGCCTGGCTCCCCCCCTAGCTCAGCTCAAGTGCAATTCAACAGATGTGGTAGCCTTACTAGGCCTGCCTGGTCTGTGCCTGGTCCCAGTTCTCATACTCACCAATGGGAGTAGTGGCCCAGCACGGTGGTCCTCACTGTTCCCTATCAGGCTTGCTCCCTGCTTCCTGCCAGGTCTCACATGTGCTGATTAGTGCGGTTGCCCAGTTTGGCATGACCTCCCCCAGCCCCACATTGGCATTTTCCAGCTGGTGCTGTAACCTGGTCCAGCCTGGCCCTCCCTCAGTTCCAGCCTATGCCTGTAGGTGCTGCAGCCTAGCCTAGCTTAGCCTATCTCTGCAGCCCTTAGTTCTGACCCTAATGTGAACCTGCTGGTTTGCAGCCTGACTACCTGTTCTGTACCCCATCCGGGCTCTCACATCTGCCAATGGGTATTATAAATAGGCCCAGCTTGGCCTGTCCCCAGACATGACAGATATGTATGCGGGGGTGAGGGGCACTGTCACCTGGCCTGGTCTGGGCTGCTCCCAGCCTTGGTTCTTGCATTCATCTGCAGGAACTGCGTCCTGACAGAGTTCCCCAAGCTCCTTTATCAGATCTCCTCCCAGTGGCAGATCTCATGCACACTTGTGGGTCATTGGCCCAGACTGACTTAGTCTGCCTTCTGTCTTGGCAGGAACTACTCGACTGGCGTAACCCCATTCTGATTCTTACTGTTGGTGCTGTAGTCCAACCACTCCTGGTCCATATCCAGACCAGGCTCTCACATGGTTCAGCTGGTGCTGAGTCCTATCCCATCTTCTCCTATATTTAGACTGGCTCCTGTGAGCACCAGTGTGTGCTGGAATTCCAGTCTGGCATACCCATTCCATACCCATGCCAAACTATATGCTCAGCCATGTTCAGGCTAGTTCGCCATCCCCATTCCAGCTCTTATGCTCACCAGTAGGAACCACAACCTAGCCAGGCTGCCTCCTTAGCTTCCCAACCAGAGTGGCTCCCAACCACAGATCTTGAATGTGACAGTAGTTAGTCTGACCCTGTCTTAGCCTTTGCCATTGGGTGCTGCAACTGGCCTGGCTCAGCCCACCCTTAGTCCCAACTCAGTTGTGGCTGCTCCAGCCTAGCCCTGTGCAGTCTGCTCCATCCCCGACTTTCATGCAGACCAGTAGGTGTGATAACTGAACCCAGCGTGGTCCACACTCCAGCCTGGCTCCTGCATGTGCCAGTGAGCTAGCCCAGTCTGTGCCCCACTCAGAACCAGCCCACACTCTTGACAAGTGAAGCAGTCTTGCCCAGCCTGGCCAACGTCCAACACTGACTCACCTGCTCACAGCAGTAGTTACAGATCACTGGGTGAGATAGATCTTCCATCACTGGTTACTCCCTAACTGGCCACAATTGTCAAAGCTGGGCTGGTCTGAAGCCAGGAGTCTGGAACTTCTCCTGGGTCTCTCGGGAGTGCACCGGCTGAAGCTCTTAGGCATCCTACACTTCTTTCTCAGGCCATTAGCAGGAATCAGAAGTAGAAGAGGCAGGACTCAAACTGGCACTCATGTGGGATACTGGAGCACAGGTAGAAGTTTATCCTACTATGCCTTGGTGCTGGCCATAGCTCCTTAGATTTATTCAGCGACAATGCCCCAGCAGCAAGGATTGTGGACAAGGAGCAATTTTGTGGCACAGTATGTTCAGCCACTGCTTAGATGCCACCATCCCCTATCAGCGTTCTGGCCTGTTTGAGTTCTGGCTATTCTGCTTCCAGTCCAGCTTCTTTCTATTGCACATAGGAAAGCATCAGATGAAGGTTCATATATATAAGTCCTTGCCACTCTTATGGGGCACTCCCATGGGATTCCTGGCTCCTGGTCTCAGCCTAGCCCGATCCTGGCTGCTATAGGCATATGACAATCAATGGATAGAAGATCTCGGTCTCTCCCTGTCCCTCTGTCACTCTGCTTTTGACATGACTTGGACACTTATTTTATTAGTGTCTTTAAAATTTTTTTTTAAATTTTTATTGGAAAGGCAGAAAAAAATAGAGAGGAAGAAAGACAGAGAGGAAGATCTTCCATCTGATGATTCACTCCCCAAGTGATCGCAACAGCTGGAGCTGAGCCAGTCTGAAGCCAGGAGCCAGGAGCTTCTTCTGGGTCACCCACACGGGTGCAGAGTCCCAAAGCCCTGGGTGGTCCTGGACTGTTTTCCCAGGCCACAAGCAGGGAGCTTGATGGGAAGCAGGGCTGCCAGGATTAGAACCGGCGTCCATATGGGATCCTGGTGTGCAAGGCAGGGACTTCAGGCCCTAGGCTACCGCGCCAGGCTCTTTTTTTTGTGTTATAACCCAGCTCTTATTCGTGAGGATCATGAAAAATCTTTTTTTCTAGGACCAGCGTTGTGGCTTATCTTGCAATGCTGGCATCCCATTTGGGCACCGGTTTTAGTTCTGGCTGTTCCACTTCAGATCCAATTGTCTGTTAATGTGCCTGGGAGAGCAGTGAGAGAGCCCAGGTCCTGTGGCCTCTACACTCCTGGTTCCTGGTGCTGGGCTGGCCCAGTTCCAGCTGTTGTGGCCATATGGGGAATGCACCAGCAGATGGAAGATTTTTCTCTATCTCTCCCTGCCTCTGTGAACTCTACTTTTCAAATAAATGAATCTTTAAATAAAAGAGCTAAAAATTTAAATATAATTTTTCTATGCATTTTAATTTTTTACACTTTATGTCTGGGACTTCATTTTTGGAAAAGTAGTATATTCTGACTAGTATTAATGTAAATATATTTATTATTCCATTTGGAATGTTTTTCTTTCTGCTTTCTATTGGATTAATTTTTTTTTTTTAAAGATTTATTTTTATTATTTTTTCATTGGAAAGGCGGATATACAGAGAGGAGAGACAGAGAGGAATATCCTCCATCCGATGATTCACTCCCCAAGTGAGCGCAACGGGCGATACTATGCCGATCCGAAGCCAGGAGCCTCCTCCGGGTCTCCCACGCGGGTGCAGGGTCCCAAAGCTTTGGGCTGTCCTCGACTGCTTTCCCAGGCCACAAGCAGGGAGCTGGAAGGGAAGCGGGGCTGCCGGGATTAGAACCGGCGCCCATATGGGATCCCGGGCGTGCAAGGCGAGGACCTTCAACCACTTGCGCCACCGCGCCGGGCCCTGGATTAATTTTTTTTAAAGATTTTTACTAATTAGATCATGGAGGGGAAAGAGAGATGCACTTTTTTTAAAAATTTTTTTTAAAGATTTATTTTTATTATTTTTTTTATTGGAAAGGCGGATATACAGAGAGGAGAGACAGAGAGGAAGATCTTCTGTCCGATGATTCACTCTCCAAGTGAGCGCAACGGCCGATGCTATGCCAATCCGAAGCCAGGAGCCTCTTCCAGGTCTCCCACGCGGGTGCTGGGTCCCAAAGCCTTGGGCCGTCCTCAACTGCTTTCCCGGGCCATAAGCAGGGAGTTGGAAGGGAAGCGGGGCTGCCGGGATTAGAACCGGCACCCATACGGGATCCCGGGCGTGCAAGGCGAGGACCTTAACCACTGCGCCACTGCGCCTGGCCCTATTGGATTAATTTTTTAAAATTTCCTCTTCTTCAGATTTTGCACTCTCCTTATAAATGGTCACGTGTAAGTTTTCAACATTCATGCTAAACATCCTTAAGATAATTAGCATCCTAGACTTTAGAAAGCTTTAAGTTTGATCATGTTCTTTCTGCGCTATATGAAATTATTAATGCCTTGCCTGGTTCATTCTTGTTTGGAAATCTTGCAAGGTAGTTATTGTTCCAATAGTCAATATTTGGTTTGGTCTGTGTCCAGATTTACCAGTTTTGTTGCTTGCTTTATGGCACATAATTCCTTCTAGCTTTGGCTTCTTTCCTCCTGACTTGTGGCTTGTCCGTATTGTGCATTAGCCTCCCAGCATTTCAGAGTCACAGCTTCACTGGACATGAGCTTCCAGATGGGCAGTTTGTCTTCTCAGCTCTTTGCTGCTGTTGAGAAGTATGGTATTACTTAATATTTTTCTCCTAGTTGTTTATGTCTTATCTTTTTTTAATCAGTCATTTTCTTTGTGAAGTATGCATTTTATGTCTTGCTTAAAAATACCTCCTATGCCACACAGTTATAAATGAATTGTACACATTGTCTAACACTGTATAATTTTGTTATTTATATTCCTCCTTTTGTCAGTCTGGAGCTTGTTGTGTGTATGATGTTAAGGAAGTAAGCTAGCTTATAAAAACCCCAGCAACTTTTGTAACACTGACCAGAAGTGTTTATTCTGAGCTGCATGTCTTTTAGTGCCCTTATGGAGTGGGGTGAATGTGGCCGGTGTTGCTCTGAAGTCCCTGCACCCTAAATTAGGAACCGACTCAGACAAAGAACAGTGGAAAGTTATTCATAAACAAGTTGTTGAAAGGTAATGGCTCTTATTCAATTTCATAATGCCTTATTAATTAATATTAATAGCAACTTCACAGACAAAAAGTTGATACTTCATATTTTGTGGGACCAATAATTCTTTGCTTCCAAAAATCCACAAATTCATATTTATATTATGTATGACTTTATTTAGAGGCATTTTTTTTAGAAATGGGAATAACAAAGGAATTATTATTAAAAGGAAAACTGAGGGATAGTAAAACTAATTATGGGCATGAACTTTGAGATAGGTTGTCCATGTTTGAAACCAGCCTTCACTTAAAAAAAAAAAACTTATTTATTTATTTGTAAGCGCTACAGAGAACAAGAGGAAGAAACAGAGTAGGAGAGATTGTCCACCCTCTAGTTCACTCCCCCAGTAGCCACAGTGACCAGAGTTGGGTTGGTCCAAAGCTGAGAGCCAGGAGCTGCTTCCGGGTGTCCTGCATGGGTACAGGGGCCCAAGCACTGGCACCATCCCTGGCTGCCTTCTCAGGCCATTAGCAGGGAGCTGGATTAGAAGTGGAAGAGCTGGGACTTGAACCAGTGCCTATATGGGATGTCAGTACCGCAGAGAGAGGCTTAGCATGCTGGGTCATGGTATTGACCCATCATCACAATTTTAAAGAGATTTTTCATTTTATTTGCAAAGAAGTATGAAGCATTTGGACAGAGATTTGCTGGGTCACTCCCCAGATGCCTTCAATAATCAGAGCTAAGCTACGCTGAAGCCAGGAGCCTGAAACCAAGTCTGTGTCTCATTTAGTAGAGGAGCCCAAGTACTTGAGCCATCATCTGCTGCCTCCCAGGGTCTTTTAGCAGGAGGCTGGATAAGAAGCAGGGGAGCCAGGCCTTGAATCAGACACTCCAGCATGACATGTGGACATTCCAATTGGCATCTTAGCCACCACGCAAAATTTAGCCTCTGCCTCCCCCTTTATTAGTGTGTAAAATTGGGAAATTACTTCAAATCAGTTTGCTTATATCTAAAGTGGAAACAATTATAGAAGCCATTTCTAAGGACTATGATGAGAAGTCAACAGTTCATATAAAATGCTAGAATCAGGGCATGGGATTTAGTAAATGTTTAATAAATTTAGTAAATTTATGAAAAAATTAAGCTGATTCAGGTGTCCAGGTGTCCAGAGGATCAGAAATCAACAGTGTTTTTTTGGGGGAAACATCTGACTGCATATAAGCATACTTGAGGTTTAATAGCATGCGTGATTGACCATGCCTCAGCCCTGTAGTGTGTTAATAGAAGTGGTGGAACTTAGAAATCACTTTGAGGTAATCACACTTTAGAATATATATTTTTATTTTTATTGGTAAGGCAGACATATAGAGAGAAGGAAAGACAGAGAAATTTCATTCCCTAAGTGGCCACAATGACCAGAGCTGAGTCGATCCGAAGCCAGGAGCCAGGGACTTCCTCCAGGTCTCCCACGCGGGTGCAGGGTCCCAGTGGTTTGGGCCGTCCTCGAGTGACTGCTTTCTCAGGCCACAGCAGGGAGCTGGATGGGAAGTGGAGTAGTTGGGACAGCAACTGGCACCCATAATGGATCCCTGTGATTGAAGGTGGAGAGAATTAGCCAGTCGAGCCATCGTACTGGCTCCATACTTAGGAAAATTAAATTTAGTAATGCTACAAATCTCCATTTGAGAGAACTTCCAAAAGTTCACAGAAAAGGTGGAATTAAAGATACTTATTTTGGTTCAAAAATGAAATCTATGCACAAATTTTAAATAATACTAATTTTTATGAACTCTTTGAAGTTCTTTCATTTGTGTGCTTATAATAACAATACAAAAATGTGCAAGAATTGGGAAAGAGACTAATAAACCACATAATGTAGTGATATTAGATGAGTTGTATTTCTCTTAAATGTTTTTAATTTGAAAAGTTAAAATCATTAATTGTTTATAATAAAAACTAATAAGAGAGGCTGGTGCGGTAGGCTAGTGCCTAAAGTCCTTGCCTTGCACGCACTGAAATCCTATGTGGACGATGGTTCTAATCCTGGTGGCCCCACTTCACATCCAACGCATCCAGGCAGTCGAGGAAAGCCCATAGCCTTGGGAACGCTGCACCCGTGTGGGAGACCTGGAGGAAGAGGCTTCTGGCTCTTTGCTTCGGATTGGCACAGCTCCAGCCATTGTAGCCACTTAGGGAGTGAATCAGTGGATTGAAAATCTTTCTTTCTGTCTCTCCTGCTCTCTATATACCTGACTTTCCAATAAAAATGAAATAAATCTTTAAAAATAAACTAGTAAGGACACCTGGATGGAATTTGCATTTGGGAGGATGTTCTGGAGAAGTTGGTTGAAATGACATTATCTCGGCACCAGTGTACTTAATGCCATTGAATTTTGCACCTAAAGGTGGTTGAAGTGTGGCTCAGCGCAATGGCTCTGTTGGCTAATCCTCCACCTCCAAGCGCTGAGATCTCATATGGATGCTGGTTCATATCCTGACTGCTCCACTTCCTACTCCCTGCTTGTGGCCTGGGAAAGCATTAGAGGATTGCCCAAAGCCTTTGGGACCCCGCACCCGCATGGGAGACCCAGAATTAGCTCCTGACTTCAGATTAGCACAGCTCTAGCCATTGCAGCCACTTGGGGAGTGAACCAGTGGATGGAAAATCATTTTTTCTCTCCCTCCTTCTCTCTGTATATCTGCCTTTTCAATAAAAATAAATAAACCTTTCACAAAAAGAAAAGATGGTGTAGTGGTTGATCACAGTTGAAAAAGAACCATGGCAGCTAATAGTGGTTTGAGGTTCAGACTGTGACATTCACAGGCTATAACAGTTTCTTTTATTATTATTTTTATTGGAAAGTCAGATGTACAGAGAGGAGGAGAGACAGAGAGGAAGATCTTCCATCCGTTGACTCACTCCCAAAATGGCCGCAATGGCCAGAGTTGTGCTGATCTGAAGCCAGGAGCTAGGAGTCACTTCTGGGTCTCCAGTGCAAGTGCAGGGTCTCAAGTCTTTGCGCCATCCTTGACTGCTTTCCCAGGCTACAAACAGGGAGCTGCATGGGAAGTGGGACTGCTGGGATTAGAACCGGAGCACATGTGGGATCCCAGCACGTGTAAGGCGAGGACTTTAGCCACTAGGCTACCATGCTGGACCCACAGACTTTAACAGTTTTAACATCGCATCATTATCTAGCGTGGGGAAAGGACACCAGGTGGAAATCATGCTGTAGATTATCAGCAGGCCTTTGTTCACTGTGCAGCACACTCAGTTGCAAGGGAGGAAGCTACCGTGGAAACAGACTCTCAACAGAGGAAAGTTGCTTTGTTTCTCAGCCATTTGAAATTCAGTTCTTGTCACATAGTCCTCAGGGTCTACCTGCCTAACCACTATCCTCTTGATGCAGTGCACAAAACATCCAGTGCTGATAGCCTGTTATGGCCACTACTCCATATTTCTCTGAACTAATTTTTACATTCAGAAATCTGTATTGCTTTATGGCAAACTGAAGGCAATCTTGCAGTTAATCTGCTGTTAACCCTTTACCTGTGGTACCTCTCCATCATTGGAGGTTGGCATCACAGGCAGAGGGTTAGCCTGATATGATATGCCAGGGGCACTGGCCCCAGGTTAGTTCTTACTTAAACCGGAATGATGAGATTGTATAAGACTAATATAGACACTTGCGTTGCCCATTCAGAAATAATTTCTGGAAGAAATATCTGAGGAAATTTTAATAAAGTGACATTGATATGTAGATTGCTTCCGAGGGATGTTTGAGACTATTATGCTTTCTCTGTGTTGACGTCTCATATGTTTAACGTCCTTTTCTATAATTGTAGTGCCTATGAGATTATCAAACTGAAGGGGTACACCTCCTGGGCTATTGGACTGTCTGTGACAGATCTGGCAGGATCAATTTTGAAAAACCTTAGGAGAGTGCATCCAGTTTCCACTATGGTTAAGGTAGGTTTAAATTACCTCTATATTATTTTCACCTTTACTGGTTTTTTTTTAAAATTTTTTTAAAGATTTATTTTTATTATTTTCTTATTGGAAAGGCAGATATACAGAGAGGAGACAGAGAGGAAGATCTTCTGTCCGATGATTCACTCCCCAAGTGAGCACAACGGCCAATGTTATGCCGGTCCGAAGCCAGGAGCCTCTTCCGGGTCTCCCACGCGGGTGCAGGGTCCCAAAGCCTTGGGCCGTCCTCAACTGCTTTCCCGGGCCACAGGCAGGGAGCTGGAAGGGAAGCAGGGCTGCTGGGATAGAACCGGTGCCCATATGGGATCCTGAGTGTGCAAGGCGAGGACCTTAACCACTGCACCACCGCGCCGGGCCCATGTTTACTGTTGATTGAGTCTCTACTAGGTGCCAGCAATTGTATAAGATATTGATGATAGTCCATGTGATTGCCCTAAATCTAATGAAAGAAATGAATTTAAGGAAACACATAAGTAAACATATGAAACAAATTGTGGTAAAGTGTTTGTGATGAAAAATTCTGGGGGGGTGGTCATCAACAGGAGAACTTTACTACTCAGAGAAGTATAGATGAGGTGGAGAAGACTTCCCAAAGAAGTAAAGTGTGACCCAATCTAAGTGTTAAGTTGAGGTTGATTTGGAAGGCTGAGCTAATATTCCAAGCAGAGAGAACGTGTACGCAGACAGCATGGTGTAGATCTTCGTGGAGGGCGGTTGGCTATCTGGACCGAGTTCAGTGAAGTGCAGAGAGCAGAGGAAACAGTGCATGGTGAGGGCACAGATGTCAACAGGATCTGACCCCTCAAAGTCGTGCAGGTGGGATTCCCGTCCTCATCTTAAAAGCAATGGAAAACGAGGGCTAGGATTTGTTGTTGCTGGAAAGATGACTGTGGCTGTGATGAGAGAAGAGATTTGAAGAGGACAAGAGTATGTAAAGACGAGCAGCACACCTCCAAGCAGGGAGTGTGATTGTTGAAGAGGATAAAGTGGAGATGTGGCATCTCCATCATAGACTATCACGGGCCTTGGTGATGGAATAAGGGGCGAGTGAAGGGGAGAGAAGTCTTTCTTGGGTTCTAGTTTTCATGCTGAAGTGGTGCCTTTAGAAGAAAGTAAAAAGTTTTTAAAAAAGATTTATTTATTTTTATTACAAAGTCAGATATACAGAGAGAAGGAGAGACAGAGAGGAACATCTTCATATCCAATGATTCACTCCCCAAGTGAGCGCAACAGCTGATGCTGTGCTGATCAGAAGCCAGGAGCCAGGAACCTCCTCCAGGCCTCCCACACAGGTCAGGTGCAGGATCCCAAGGCTTTGGGCCGTCCTCGACTGCTTTCCCAGGCCACAAGCAGAGAGGTAGATGGGAAGTGGAGCTGCTGGGATTAGAACCGGTGCCTATATGGGATCCTGGCGCATTAAAGGCAAGGACTTTAGCTGCTAGGCCACCACACTGGGCCCCCAAACAGTTTTTAAATGTTGGGTTGATAGTAAGTCCAGAATTGTGATTAGGAAGTAGTGATTTGGGGGCTCTTTTAGATGTCAGCATAACTTAACCACCACTGGTGACAACCAGATGTGTCCCTGGAGATTGCCAGATGTTCCCGGGAGCACATTAAACTGGAGTGGATGGAGGAAATGCAGCCCAGTATGAAGAGCTGCTCTCAGGTGTCTGTGCCGGTGAGGAGAAGCCGGGCAAGAGAAACGGGCTCTTGTTGCTTTCTAAAGACAACATGCTCATGGTAAAGATCATGAGCGAGGGAGAAGTTGCAGAGAGCAGTAGTAAGCAGTGGGCGGGGAAGCGCCAGTCCCGGAGGGAGGCGGGAAAGCTCTCTGTTCTAGAGTGCACCCCGAGAGAGGACTAGTACCAGGTGGGGGTGTTGTCGGTTTGCAAGTCTGGCACTGGAAGCTTCTGTCTTTTTAATGGAGGAGACAATTATCAGTGGAGTATTAGGGGAGGTTTATGATTTGAATTTTTTTTTAAAGATTTATTTTTATTGGAAAGGCAGATTTACAGAGAGAAGGAGAGACAGAAAGATTTTCCATCTACTGGTTCACTCCCCAGGTGGCCACCAGGGGCAGAGCTGATCTGATCTGAAGCCAGGAGCCAGGTGCTTCTTTGAGATCTCCCATGTGGGTACAACTTACACCATGAACAGGGAGCTGGATCAGAAGTGGAGCAGCCAGGACACAGTGGTGCCCATATGGGATCCTGGTACGTGCAAGGCAAGGATTTAGCCACTGAACCATCATGCTGGGCCCAGTATTTTAATTTTTTGTTGTTGTTGGAAATAATGGGAGAAAATTTGATAAGAAAACAAAGCATAGAATTACTGCTTTTTTTTAATGTCTACTCTAGGTTGGTTAGCATATTAGCTTGTCAGTCTGAGTGAAGGATTGGTTTTGTGGTATGTTTTTTTTCCAGGAACTCAGGTATAGGGATAGAGAAAGCGGGTGGCTAAATTCGTTCAGGGTTGAGTGTTACTTGTGGAATGCAGAGGGGCAGGGGAGAGAGGCTGAGGGGGCGGAGAGTGGGGTGAGGGAGTTGGGGGGGCGTCGGAGAGTGGGGTGAGGGGATGGGGAGGTGGTGGAGAGTGGAGCAAGGGGGCATCAGAGTGGGGTGAGGGGGCAGGCGGCTCAGATTGCACACGTATTGAAAGAGTTGGGCCTTCTGCTGAAGAATCACAGAGAAACGCAAGACTTTACCTTTTGGATTTTGTTAATGTCTACATATGAACAAATTATTAAAAATTAAAAATGTAGAAATATTTGTAAAAACTGAAGATTAAAATGGACAGAATGGCTTAAGATATGGTGAAAAGGTTACAGAATGACATCACAAAACCTCAGCTGTGTGTGGAGCCTCATGACAAGGTCAAGGGTAATTAGAGTTGGAGTGGGAGGGGAAAGTGCTTTGAGCTGAAGAAATCAAGACAGAAAGGGAATTGATGGGCTTGCCTGTATGGACAGCGATTCCAGCAGTGACGGTGGCAGTAATTGGGATACAGGAGGAGGCCAGCATCGGTATATCAGAAGAGTTTGTGACTGGGATGGCACAGCCAGGAGGTTGAGAGAGGGTTCCCTGAGTAGGCAGGAGGTCAGCAGGAAGGGAAGAAGTGCTAAAATGAGCCTCACACAAAAACAACAAAAGCGGGGAATATGTTCTGCTGTCACAAGAACAGGGGTTCATGATTTGGAGGAGCTGAGGAGGAGGAGCACACAGTGGGTCCAACACCCAGGTTCTCTTTAGGGGACCGGAGGCTGTGGGAGAACAGATGGTGAGGGCTCTGAAGAGACACTGAGTGAGTTACAGCAGGATTCCATGACCTTTACAGGACTAGTCAGTGCACAAGTGACAGATTGTTAAAATGTGTCTATGTTTTGGAAAGGGAGGGAGGGAAAGAGAGAGAGGAGCTCCCATCTGCTGATTCATCCCCTGAAGCCTGTGGCAGCAACAATTCAAAGCCAGGAGCCAGAAATTCAGCTCAGGTCTGCCTGGCACTGCTGGAGCCACTGCTTTGAGCTAGAACCAGTGCCAGTGTTGCCACTGGAGCAAGCTGGTGGGGCGCGGTGCAGCTGTGAGCTGAACACAGCTACTCCAAAACATGACGTGGAAAGGTGACCTGGTCAGGGCAAGGAGTACTTCACCTGGTTCTTTTATTTTTTATTTAAAATTTAAAGGTTTATTTTTTATTTAAAAGGCAGCAGAGAGAGAAAGAGAGAGAGAGAAGAAAGAGATACAAGGGAGGGAGAAGAGAGATATAGAAATAAAAATTTGGGAGTCGGTTGCATCCAGTTTTATTTGCAAAGTGACCAGGTGAGTGTGGAAAGAGGAGGCAAGGGGAAAGCACACCCAGGAGAGATCCAGGGGATGGCGTGTTATCTGAAAGGAGAGAGGGAGATACGTGAGTTTTAGGAAGCGCCTTGAGTTTTTAAGGGCTCTCTGACTCCTCTTTGAATGGGAATCTGCAGTGCAAGTCACTCCCCATTGGTGGCCTCTCAACCAGTTAGGCTGTGTAATTCCTGTGCTGTCCTCTGGGAAATGTGATTTGCTAGCTGCCTGCTGAAGGACAGACGGTGGCCTCCCTGACAAATGGCACAGTTCCCTTCCCACTGAGGGGTCAGGCTTCTCAGGGTCTAAACGCTATCCTGCTTGCTCGCATTCGCACGCCGTGCCAACATGCGGCAGTGAGATGGTGGCCCAGGCAGAATGGCCTCTTAAGGCTTGCCCCAGACCTTGACACGAGATTCCAGTGGGCTTAGATGGACTCATCTCCCAGCCGCAATTCCCCAAAGAGCCACAATGACCCGGGCTGTGCCAGCCTGAATCCAGGAGCCAGGAGCATTTGCTGGTTCTCCCATGTGGATGTAGCTTGGGCCAGCCCCTGCTGCTTTCCCAGGCACATTAGCAGGCAGCTGAACCTCAGTGGAGCAGTCAGGACTTAAAAACACTGGTGCCTTTATGGGATGCTGAAGTCACAGCTAAAGGCTCAACCCTCTGCCCTACAATGCCAGCCTTCTTGGTTCTTTTGAAGGCATGCATTGCTCATGGGATTGAACTTGAGTTACACGGCCATAGGACATGGCTAGGTTTTGTTGAGGATGATCTTGTTGCCTTCCAAATGATTATTACTTCTCAAATAATTATTTTAAAGGCAGAGTGAGAGAAACTTTTTAATTTGCTGGTTCAGTGTCCGAATGTAAGTAACAGCCAAGGCAGGCCATAATTCCTTCCAGGTCTCTCATGAGGGTGATGGGAACCTGGCACTTGGACCGTTATCTGCTACCTCTGGGCACTGTAGCAGGAAGCCGGATCAGAAGCAGAGAGTGGCCTGGACGGGAACTGGTGGCCCCAGTATGGGGTGTGGGCATCACAGGTGCTAACTTCACCTGCTGCACTGCCCTACCCACCTGCCGCTCTGACTGGCTCTTGTTGAGGCCATTCCAGGTCTCCTGCAGCTGCTTCTGCATCTTGGGGGACTGATCACCAATCTTGTCTTGCCTTGCAGGGCTTATATGGGATCAAGGAGGAAATCTTTCTGAGCATCCCTTGCATCCTGGGGCGGAATGGTGTCTCGGACATCGTGAAGGTTGCCTTGAGTCCCGAGGAGGAGGAACTCTTTAAGAAGAGTGCCAGCACGCTCTGGAACGTCCAGAAGGACCTGGTGTTTTAAAGACCCTCACCGTCTGCCGCACATCAGCCAGGAACACAGCACACTATGTATCTTACCTTTGGCAAACATTTTTATCCGACCTGTAGAACATAAAACATTGTAGACTTAGGACATAACTTGTCCCTCAAAATGAGAAAGAGGGCCTCTCCTCCTGAGTCCCTGTCGCTCTGTTCTGATGATAGCAGTCTGTCATCTGTGTAGTAGCGGCCACCAGGGCTAGCACAATAGGCATAACGACTACTGTAACATAGAACTGACAACTCCTCTCACGGAACAGTGCTCTCACACTGAAATGTCCTATTAGAAAAGCAGCATGTTCACTTTTTATTGCTTCAATGACTTCCTGTGTCTGTCTGTATACACTTTTACTAAATGCCTATTATTAACACCATATGTATTAGAAGTAAAAACAGAGGTGTAACTTTATGATGTAAAAATGTTGAAGTGAGATGATATATTAAACGCTGCAAGTATATGCAATTCAAATACGTGCCAGTAGTTGATCTGGTGCCTTTCTGGACCTCTCACACAGGAAATATAGACCCTCTTGTAGCTTGTTTAAACATTCAGCGACCCACTGCTGTCACGCCTACTATTATGCTTGATGAGTATGATCTTTGTTCTCAGGTATATACAGTAGCTAGGGTGCCTCAGTTGATTGATTTATCAACTTCTGCTTGGTAAGTCAGTTCCTTATTGTCTCAGGGAGACTGCATATGGACAGACACACATGGAAATGAAACAATTCCTTAATCACACAGAGAATGTAAGGTAACTATAAGAAATATAGTGAAATAAAAAATTCAACAAGGTAATTTACAACTTTTGACAGAACAGGACCAGTGGGGTAAATGAGAAGGCAGCTGTGCGGGCCCAAGGCCATCACTGAGAAGTGAAGCTGTGCCCATTCGGCAGGCTCGGCCTCATGCTTGTGGTCTGACGTTATTGCCTTTTTTTTTTTTTAATGATGTATTTTTATTAGAAAGGCAGATTTATAGAGAGAAGAGACAGAAAGATCTTCCACCCACTGGTTTACCCTCCAGTGGCTGCAATGGAATGAGCTGAGCCAGAAGAGCTTATTCCGGGTCTCCCACATGGGTGCAGGTCCCAAGGCTTTGGGCCGTCCTCTACAGCTTTCCCAGGCCACAAGCAGGGACATGAACCAGCGCCCATATGGGATTCTGGTGCTTGTAAGGTGAGGATTTCGCCACTGAGCCATTGCACTGGGCCCTGTTCTTGCTACCTTGATAGCATCCAGTCATTTATTGAATGTGATTCATCTCCCACTGTATGGTTATTTTTAAAAACTTTTCTCTGATTGGACAAAATATGTGACAGAGGGCAAGGAGAGTTTTCTATTTGCTTTTATTTATTTTTCTATCATATACTCTCAACAAGGCAATGTTGTCCCTAAGCAGACGAAAAGAGGTCCTAGGTGGGGAGAAGGTGAAAAAAAAAAAAATCTCAGCTATTATTGGGTTGGGCTGTTTAGTTTTCCGCTTTAACCGAGAAAATACTTGTCCATGCAGCAGCCTGGGGCAGCAGATGGCTGGAGCAGGGCTGGGGGAGGAGGTCTTAGAAGGCTCTTGAAAGGCTGCTGAGCCAAGGCTGACAAGCACTGCTCCATGTAAAATGATTTCAGGTGTGCCTCATGTGGGGCTCACACAAGAATTCGAAACAGTTAACTGCGCAAAGCTCAGGTTCTCTCAGACCATAAGGAGCAAATATTAGGTCCTACAAAATAGTGGGCTGAGCTTTCCCTGCCACTTGGAGAAATGGTTACCACCTGGCACCCAGCCTGATCAAATTCCTAGGGCTTCACGTTTCAAAATTCCCTTGACAGAGAGGCGTTTAAACATTGTCTTTCCCACCTGGGCCCACACTTGAAGTGGTCAAAGAGCACATGAAGCCCGTTTCTCCTGCTGGTAATTAAGCTCGGAGGGCAATTCAAACGCCCTTCCCGACGCAAGCAGACTTGCACGGGCTGGGAAGAAAATCCCGTGAGCTCTCTGGTGGACGAGTTCTGTGCCAACAGGGCTCGGCTCCAGAGCTGCAGGAAGCCCTCCAGTTCCCGATGCCTGCTAACCTCAGAAACCCCAGTGCCCTGCTGGCACCCAGGTGCGAGGCGGCTGGTGCCGGGGCGCAGGTGCACCGCCTCCACGCCGCCTCCAGACCGCGAGCCTGCAGAGGGGCGCGGCCTTGGATAGCCGCTATAACCGGGGAGTGCTGTGGTCTGGTCTCCTGGCGCCCGGCTGAGCGTGCAGCTGCCGTGTTTCCTGTGTTCCACCTGTTGAGTGAGCCACCGTGAAGCTGTGCTATGGATGTGGAGCCGACCAGGGAGCCTGGAGGCGTCGCGAGAGGTGAGGCAAACAGTTTAGCCTAGAGGTGACTGTGTGTGTGCTCAGCTCAGGGACTGGGGGTCCTGCGCCTCCAGTGCAGCTGAAAGCTAAGGTAGGAGGGAGAGGGGCTCCCATGGCCAGCGTGAGCGGCTCCGCCTGGGTCGGCCCCTCTTCCGGCCAGCTTTGCCCACCGCTACCTGTGGCTCTTGAGCTGTTGAACAGAAACTTCCCAGCCTGACCGCAGGCCTGCTGCACCTCCTTGCACACGAGGGCTCCCCGACCCTGGACACCCGCTACACATCTGTGAATGGCCGAGCGGTGGCTCTGGGTTGACTCTGGGAAGTTTGTAAGATGGTAGCGGTCAAGTGTAAACCCGCTAAAAGTGTCCGTTGGAGGAGGCCACAGAGCTCAGGAAAGGCACCATTATTGGACTTGGATTGCTTGGTGAGGCCTGTTCTCTTCCCAAGTTTGTGCTTTGTGCTGTTTCTTGGAGGCCAAGCCACTGCTCGCAGTGGAGCAGGTCGTGTCTAGCTGAAGTGGTGGGAGGGCCCCTCCCCAGCTCGAGGTGAGCCTGTAGCAACGGATGCTCTGTCCCAGAGGGGTATCCTATGTGTTAGAACGTGAGTGGGTATTTCACGTGGACTGGTGCGGTGACAGACCAAGGAGACACACCTTGCCTGACCAGCTCACACACACTCAGAATCACTGCAGGAATAGGTGATGAAAGTGCACAAGTCAGCTGGCACCAAATGTTTCCCTTCAAATCTCTCATTTCAATCTGTCATTAGTTCCCTCCTAATTCATGTTGAGTTTGGTCTGTGTAGCTGTTCTTGGTATGGGAGTTGATAAAATTAGCTTCCAGCTTAATAGCTAGAGACATAAGCATAACCCTGAGTTGGATATATATAGTTTTGGTAAATCAAACACTTCGGGGCTATACTTCATTTTCATTAATGCAAGCCTTTTTTTTTTTTTTAAGATTTTTAAGATTTTTATTGTAAAGTCAGATATACGGAGAGGAGTAGAGATAGAAAGCTCTTCCACCCATTGATTCACTCCTCAAGTGACTGCAATGGCTGGAGCTGCACCAATCGGAACCTGGGAGCCAGGAGCCTCTTCCAGTCTCCCACACAGGTGCAGGGTTCCAAGGCTTTGGGCTGTCCTCCACTGCTTTCCCAGGCCACAAGCAGGGAGCTGGATGGGAAGTGGGGCTGCCAGGATTAGAACCGCACCTGGTCTAAGGCCATACCACCCTGAACGCGCCTGATCTCATCTGATCTCAGAAGCTAAGCAGGGTCAGGCCTGGTTAGTACTTGGATGGGAAAACTGGCACCTGTATGGGATTCCTGCATATGCCAGGCAAGGACTCTAAAGTTCCTAGGCTACTGTGCTGGGCTCTAATATAAACTTTTAAGGCACTTAAAAAAAAAAACATGTTTATTTGAAAGATGTAGAGCTTCCACATATTGGTTCAGTAACCCAAATGAAAAACAGCTGGAGCTGGGCCGGTTTGAAGCCAGAAGCTGAGAGCTGCTTCCTGGTCTCCTGTGTGGGGCAGCTGCCTGAGCATCAGACCCCTCTGTATACAGTAGCCAATACGGCAACCCTGAAAGTAACTAGGCAGCATTTTATAGACTAAAGGTGTAGACTGTGTCAAACTGTGAGTCCGCAAGTATATAATAGTGTGTATAGAAAAGCTTGAAGTAAAAGATTTATTTGCTACCTGCCCTGAAGGGCCTTTCAGTAGGGAAGGGATTGAACCCTAAAGAAAACTGAACCTAAAGAAAATGGCCACAAACAGCAAGAGCTTGTGTTGAATGTTTCATGTACCAAACAGCAGCATTTGGATATCTCAGAAAAAAAGGGGACACAGGCTCCCCCCATTCAGAGCTCAGGGTAAGGTTTATTTTAAACACTCCCTCCTTGTCCCTCCTTGACAGACTCAGCAGTTTCCTTCATTCAAGAAAATGGTGTTGGGGCCAGTTCCCTGGAGAGTAAACCTCCTCTACCTGCATCCCATTTTGGTGCTGATTCGTTTCCCAGCTGCTCCTGTTTCCATCCAGCTCCCTGCTGATGGCCTGAAAAAGCAGAGCAAGATGGCCCAAGGCCTTGGGACCTTGTACCCAGGTGGGAGACCCGGAAGAAGCTCCTGGTTTCGGATGAGCTCAGCTCTGGTCCTAGTGACCATGTGGGGAGTGAGCCGGGAGATGTTTCTCTGTCCTCTCTATAAATCTGCCTTTCCAAATAAAAATAAACTACAAACTAAAAAGTGGTGCTATCACAAAAGTGAGATGTAGGGAAGGAATTTCAGTAGGGATTCATGGTACAAATATAGCAGATAATTAGACCATAATACATAAATTTTCATTACAATTGTCAGCTACTTGTTTTCATTTAGTGGTATAGTCTGAGTCTAGAATAGCTTCTACTCTAATCAACACACAGGAGTTAAATGAAAAGAATCACTGAGAACTCAGTGGCTAAATCCTCACCTTGAATGTTCCAGGATCCCAGTGGGCACCAGTTCTAATCCCGGCAGCCCCACTTCCCATCCAGCTCCCTGCTTGTGGCCTGGGGAAGCAGTGAAAAGATGGCCCAAAGCCTTGGGACCCTGCACCTGTGCAGGAGACCTGGAGGATGCTCCTGGCTCCTGGCTTCGGATCAACTCAGCTTCAGCCATTTTGGGCACCTGGGGAGTGAACTGGTGGATGGAAGATCTTTATCTTTTTTTTCTCTCTGTAGATTTGCCTTTCCAATTTAAACTTAAAAATAGATATAACATTAACCAAAAAAAAAAAAAAATTCTTGTATAAAAAAGCCAGGAACTCCGATAGGGATCGTGTTGGAACTGTGGATTAGGTTTGATGGTATTTCCATTTCAATATTAAGTCTTTCAAGCAATACACACACAGGATGTCTTTTTAAGTCCTTTTATTTTTAAAAATTATTTTATTTGAAAGGCAGAGTTACACAGAGAGGAGAGAGACAGATATACAGAGATCTTCCACAAGCCAATTCACTCCCCAAAATGGCTGCAATTGCCAAAGCTGAGTTGATCTGAAGCCAGGAGTTTCTTCCGGGTCTCCCAAGCAGGTGCAGGGTCCCAAGGCTTTGAGCCATCCTTGACTGCTTTCCCAGGCCACAAGCAGGGAGCTGGATGGGAGGTGGAGCAGCTGAGACTTGAACCAGCAGCCATATGGAATGCCATTGCTTGCAGGTGGAACATTAGCTTGCTATACCACTGTGTCGGCCCCAATGACTAGATTTTTTGTTTGGGTCCGTTTTAGTCTTTCTAGGAATTTGTATAATTTATATAGGTAGTATATTCTTTTATTCTTGGCATTCTCATAATTATTTCTCTAAGGTGAGCAGCAATGGTCTCATTCATTTCTGATTTTAGTAGCCTAAGCTGTCTGTTTTTCTTTCCTCCTTGGCTTAGCTTGGCTGATGAAGGTATTCCAAACTTTGTTGAAGTT